CTGTATTCCTGGTCTCATATAATGCTAACAACCGATATTATTGTTTTTGCTTGAAATTACAGGGGGATAACAAGAGTTTTCTTGTTTGTAAGAAAAAGATGGCCACCTCTCCAGAGTTGATGTGCTGCTTCTGTCCTCCCCCATTCAAACAGTTTCTTGAAGCTATTACAATTATGAAGTTTGATGAAGAACCGAATTATGCAAAGTTGATATCCTTCTTTGAAAGCTTGATCGAGCCATGCCTGCCACTAAGACCAATTAGAATTGATGGAGCTCTTAAGGTGCTTTTGGTTACTTTTCCAAACTTTCTACTTTAATCTTTTTTTGGATATTCTTCGAACGTTCTATTTATTCAACGTTCTGCATAAATAGGTAGGACAAAAACGGGGAAGAATGTCTATAAATTTGGAAGAAGATGAACAGCCAAGAAGAAAGTTCGACTGGGTAGTCCTGCTACCCAGTGGATTTCAGTGTACAATGCACGTCGTCCAATGAAGCAAAGGTGAATTATACATTTGTTCAGTCTGATTTCCCCTAATATGTGATTGTGCACTGGAATTCTCCTACATTATTATTTTTTTTATAATTCTCATTTTCATATGAACATGCATTATTTCCATATTGTAACATTGATAAATGGTACCAGCAGCAGTTGAAGTATTTTCAATGTTTGATTTTCGTTGAGAAGGTTGTTATACAGTTTATCAGTCCCAAAAGGGGTATGAATTTGAGAATAGTTTTCATTATCTTGACTGCTAGTTGTGCATAAGCAAATTAGCTAACTAATGGAAACTGGCAGTGATATTCCTTTTTTGTTTCCCTGGCTCAAGTGGTGGTGGTCTGTTACTAGAAATATCTTAAGTATCAGTTTAACTGACCTTTTTCTGAAATTTGATCTGAATTATAATGCTGCCTACCTAACTGGAAAACATTATTGCTCTTAAATAAATTATTCTTTATTGGTAATTGCTCAATGCCCATTTGTTGTGTGCATTGTGTAATTGCTCAATGCCCATTTTTTGTGTACATTGCAATTGTTTTCTTGCATGGTATTTTTCACTCTTTGTGAGGAAACCAAGGGGCATGGCTTGGGCTCAAACCTAGGATGACCTCTGGAGTGAAGTGGTGTGTCACCAAGGAGGTGCCCCACATAAATTTTTCTTGCATAATATTAAGTAAGCCTCTTACCGGACATGTAGGTATCACTACAATGTGGCGGACTCAAGGCTGCATCAGCATGTCGATAAGGGTAATGAAGATGGATTGTATATCAGCTCTGTAGCGTCTTCATCAAGTCTATGGGCCCTAATCATGGATGCTGGGACATGTTTCACTGCCCAGGTTTATGAGCTGTCAACTGTCTTCCTGCATAAGGTTAGCATATGAAATGAGTACATTCGATCATCTTGTATTAGTAATGTAAGCACATCTTGAAGTATTTCTTATCCTTGTTATTTTGTTTGGTTCTGGACAGGATTGGATCATGGAACAGTGGGAAAACAATTTCTATATTAGTTCAATAGCTGGTGCGGCTAATGGGAGTTCCTTGGTTGTTATGTCCAAAGGTTTGCATTTATTTATACCTTTGAAATTAATATTTAAATGATTATGAGATTGATTTTTTGTATGGAAATGTGTTGTGTGCTTATATTATACACTTTTGTGGCACTGGTTAATCGTGAAATATGTGATATTTCTTATGTTTCTGAATCCCTAATCTCTTGTTTCTCTGCTGTTGTCCTCAACTGGTTTTTGGATCCATTGTGGTTTGTGGATCGGAATGCTTTGATTAGTCAAGGTTCTATATCTCTAGAATTGCCATTGGATTCATTATTGTAATGTCTGAACCTTAGTTTTAATGTTGGAAAGAAAACACATTGAATGAAACATAGAATAAGTGCTGTACTTGATTTTAATGAACGTTGATATGCGTTTTGAAATCCTCATCCTCCTGGTTGGGGAAAAGTGGCTAGCCACCTACACGTGACAAGTTATACTTATGTTCATCCCCACCTTTATAGTTGTTTATCACCTGCTTAATTCAGGCAATGCGTCTTATGAGAACCTGTGAACAGAGTTGTATTTAAGTTGGCATAGTAATGAGCACATGGGAATGTATGTTTTTGTGTGTTATAAGACGCTTGAGTATGGATTTTGATCATCTGCATGTTGTGCTGGTAAATGAAATATTCAACTGGGAGACCGTATATTTTTATGTAATACGGAGCACTGTCCTAAGCACTGATTTATGCTGTATGGTGTTGTATATAGGTACTCCATACACCCAGCAGTCGTACAAAGTAAGCGAATCTTTTCCCTTCAAGTGGATAAATAAGAAGTGGAAAGAAGGATTCCATGTAACATCCATGACAACCGCTGGCAATCGCTGGGGTGTTGTTATGTCCAGGAATGCTGGATTTTCGGACCAGGTATATTATTACTCGAGTCAACTCTGTAGAATTCTTGTATTTGTAAATTATGTTCCTTCTGTTTTTTTTGAAGATTACTCATTTGCCCACTTTTGCATTTTGATTTGAAAATACAAGGTTGTGGAGCTTGATTTTGTATACCCAAGTGAAGGCATCCACAGGCGATGGGAAAGTGGCTACAGAATAACATCTATGGCTGCCACCGCTGATCAAGCAGCCTTTATTTTGAGCATACCAAAACGCAAGTTAATGGATGAAACTCAAGAAACTCTGCGTACGTCCGCCTTCCCAAGCAGCCATGTAAAGGTAAGAAACTGTGTGTCTCGTGTTAGTTTTCTGTCATTCTTTATAATCTGGGGCTCAAATGTCTCGGCTTACCACCATAGATGAGAGGTATTACTATCGAGGCATATACATGACAATTTTCACTGACGCTGGATTCTGCGTAACTTGGGTTGTTTGTTTGGTTTGTTTATGCAGGAAAAATGGTCAAAAAATCTCTATATTGCATCGATTTGTTACGGACGGACTGTTTGCTAATTCGTTGAGTGTATATGTGGTTTATACCTGAAAAATGCAAGTGAAGCTTTTGAGAGCTTTTCACAAGTTGGTCGTTGAGTAGTTGGATAATCCTTCCATTCCCTGCAAGTAGGAGCGAAATGATGGAATTATATTTGGAAAACATGTGGCCGCAACCAACAAGCATGATGTATGTTTGTATTGCTTAATCTGTTTTGTGTTGGATTGAAAGGTGGTAAATAGAAGCATAACAAACTTGTTGAGGACTTGCCTGCAAACCAATTTATGGATACATCTAGATTGGCAATTCCTATGAATTTTAAGTACTTGATAGTATTTGATTAATCTTAAGAAAAGGAGGTAAAGTAATCAGATTTTAATCATTCAAGTTCACCCTAAACAGAGCAATTCCTTCCAGCACGCGTCAAACAGCGTTCGAATCCGTCCAAGACAAACGTATAGGTAGACCCAGCATATACTGATAAGATTACTTGGTACGAGCAATTTAGTATTGTCGTTTAAAGGTATATTTTCTTATTATTTTTAAGTGAGATTTTTAATACAAATTACTATTGTAATCGGGAAGTTTAGCCGAAAAATTAGTATAGAAAATGATATACTTCAACTAAGAGTGTTATAGTAATTACATTGATTTACTTTCTGATTCAAAGAAATTAGTAAGCAGATTATATACCAATTCTATTTTGATTTCAAAAGATTTTAATAAACAATTTAAACCGGCATTCAATTCTAACTACTCTCCGTTCAAACTCCTTATCAATTCATTTTCTCTTAGTTTGATTATGGATTAGTAAATGAGTCATTAGAATTATTAAATTCTTTTTAAGATGTTACTATTGGCATTGCAAAAATTTCTTTCGACACTATTTTAAATATAGATAGTTTGAAGTGCAAATAAGAATTTGAGTCCCAATGATCGCTCCTTTCCTTTCGGCTGCCAACAAAGTTTAAATTTTTTTTTTATTTGTTAATTTCAAGCCCAAAACGACCTAAATCAAACCTTGTTAATTGAAAACTGCTAGGCATATCACATCTTGTGCCTTATTTAATGTGGCAAGTGATGTGTACATGTCACGTCAAGTAATGAATTTATATTATTGAGTGTTGATTGTATACATCACTTATCATATGAGATGGTAAACTAATGTGGTATAAATATGTGATTCCCTAGTATTTACTTTATAACTTTCTCCTAATTAGTTCTATTTTCTCACTCACCTTATAGCTAAAAGACAAATAAAATAGCAATGTAAGACGGTCGGGAAAATAGAACAAGTGGTGGGTGGGTATAACACTACTCTACGATTATTTCTGCAATATAAACCATGCCGAATAATTATATTGTAATTAGTTTAATTACAATTTTGGGTTAAAACTGATATAATCCGACTAAATTTACAGGCCATCGATATTGAGGACTGAATACAAAACTGGGCTGTGAAATTGACAAAAGGCGTGAAAATGGACCCCCATATTATCCGACTCAAAGTCCAAAATAATTCATCACGGGTTGCCGGACCAGACCAGAGCAGAGTCCGGACACGCTGGTGTGGTGTGGCAGCTTCACAATCACACCAGAAGAGCCGAGCGTTATCTCCGTCTTCGTCATCTCTCTCCAGCAAAACCAAAACCAAGAATTCCAGCGGCATCGCATTCTGAATCTACAGGTACATACATGAGATGAAATGATTCCTTTCCTTTGATGTTTACACTGATTCAATTTCCTTACTTGTTTCTCGTTGAATTTTCCTTCTTTGTATGTGATCCAAATTAGCGAACAAACTATAGCCCTTAGATTTTATATGTTCCAATCAACAAGGAGAACGCAAAATTTGAGTCTTTAATTTTGGGCGACGGCTAGGTTCACTTTGATTAGTAAACTCAGCTAGTTGTCCGATCCAACTCAGCCCCATTTTTGTTTGGACCAGAGTGGTTCTGTAATTTTTGGGGTTAGGAAGATAAAATAATTTTGCTCTTTGTTAATTTTGGTATAGAAATTAAAACGGGGTTTTGATTTTATTTTGCAAGTGAAAATATGGAGCCGAGGTGGTTGATGCAGAGCTAGTGTTGCCAACCCACTTGAGCTTCAAGCGCATTCAGATGTACGAGAAGTATCCAAAAGGCCAATCAAGAGGGAGACATTGGAAACATCTCAAGCAGATCATTCAGGCTGAGAATTATCAGAATTACCCACCCGATGAACCAAATTGTAAGTTATACTGATATAATTAGTTTCAAGCTTCCACCTTTACCCCCTTGCGCAAATTGTTATTCAAACTGAAAATCTCTTTGCCATTGAAGAACTAAGTATGTTCTTTACTATGACCGTAATAGCGCTTAAGAAATTACTTAGTTTGTAACTTTGTATGGATAAATGTAGGTATTTTAGCTTTGTATTTTAAGCATATTACTGTCAAGTGTTGATGTCATTTTGTTTTTCTTAATGACCCATGCTTGCAGATGTTAATATAGAATCCCCGCCCTCTATGCATCCATGCAAGAAAATTTGTGATATAACAGGATATGAGGTATGTAAAACTTTTGCCAAAATTTGAAAAGTTGATTTAACAGTACCAAGGTTGGATTTTTTTTGTATATATATCATAAATTTCAGATACTCATACGAGTTTCGTTCGTTGATTCAGTGTCCTAGAAACCTGTCCTTTCATTCACTATAGCTACATAGTTGCTGGTTAATTACTTTCCAGACTTTCATTCTGTTAAAAAAAAACCCTCCATGCTACCCATTCTGTTTATTTAAATATTTGAGAGTTAATTTCATAACTGAGGCAGGCCAAACTTGTTCAGGTTGCCATCTGGTCTGCCGTCAGGCATCAATTAAATGTAAAATTAATGGCCCAGGTTTGATGAAAATATCTTTGGACTCCTAAACTTATAATAGTTGATCAAACTTGGTTGATGATTTGATCAAAGGTTCTACAGAGATATTCTCTGTGAGACGCATTCCTATTGATGTTAAGATAAACTGATTAGTAAATGTTTACAGCTTTCCTATTCATTCTTTACCACTTTCGTCATCTTCACAGTGGAGATTGATGCTTTTTTTCCATCATGCAGGCACCTTATTATGATCCAAGGACCAACCTCCGCTATGCCAATACTGATATCTTCAAGCTCATAAGATCACTTCCAAATGAATATGTCCAAAGATATCTGGCTCTCAGAAATGCTGCCGTGGTTTTGAAGTAAACATTAGACATTTTCGAGCTTCCAAAGGCAGGATTCACTTTTTCTCCACTTCTATTATATAGAAAGCATGTATATACAGATGATGGCACTTGGGCATAAAAATTCAATTCAATTCATTTTCATGGTCTTAATTTCAGGAAGGGGGGCATAGGGAGATTATAGAGTAGCGTTTTGGGATATTTCTTGCGTTGTCATTTCAATATTTCCAGTTTCTTAAAAATCAATTTCTTGAGAGAGAGAGAGAGAGAGAGAGAGAGAGAGAGAGAGAGAGAGAGAGAGAGAGAGAGAGAGAGGTTTGAACTTTGCTGTTAACTAACGGAACTTGATATTGGTTGGGTGTAAAAAGAGATGGGAGAATTAATTGGTTTGAGTTCACCATGAGTGAAGATATTTTGGACATAAATATTGGGTCTAGAAACAAAAACTAAAATCACCAAGAAAACAGAGGGATGCAGAGAAAATATTGGTGGTAAAAGAAACAAAATTGCTAATTAACTTACTAGTGACTAGTTAGCGCTTAGACACTTGTTTAAAGATTGAAGTGGCTGATGAGAGAGATGGTATTAAGCCTTCCTCAGTCCATTTGTACTCCCTGTAGGAACAGGGGTGGAATAATAAGAAGAGTTATCCATTTATCTCTAATATTATTATCTAATATTTAGTAGGATACCCGTGTAAAATGATAGAGGCAGTAGATCCTCATCACTGTTCGTTTAGATTTCTTCCAGTGTGGTGTTGCAATAGTCTTTGTGGAACCACATAAGCTGTTGCATACTACTTTAATATCTACATGAAGTCAAATTAGTGATGAATGTTCAAAATATGTTCTGGGTTTTGCAATAACCTTGGTTAGGAACTTAGGAACTTGAAAATGTCATTTAACATGATGCAAACGAATCATAGTTTTCTTGTTGGAAACTTGTAATGGAACTGGGGTTATCTTGGTTAGTTGCACTATCTGTGGTTTACGGCTGATGTTAGTTTGATGTGGTCTGCTAGTTAGGGATGAGAACCAGCGAAACATTAGGTGAACTTAAGGAGATTTCTTGCAGCAGCTTGCTCCTTTGTCACACACTTTTGATTTTGTTTGTGACTGTTTTGCAAACAACCATCTCATCTTGAGGGCATTGATGTGGGCAAATCTTTGAAATCTGATGTTACTTTTTTGGCTACTAGGTTCTGTACTCGAGTCGAGCATCATCAATTCTTGCTATTTGGTTTTTCTTTTTTAATTGCTGCATTGTCTTTGCAAGATTAGTTTCTCTCATGCTGACATTATAAGTTAAAAAACAACTTCAGATCAGAAACTTTGCACCCGTGGTATATCGTTTTTTTACTTTTTCATGTTTCTTTGTGGTAGGTGGCTGAAGCACCCAACTATACCCAAAGAACCACCTCAACACAAGAAGTTCAAGTACTGGGTGTCATGGAATTCTATCATCTTCTAAGCCGTGTAGATTTCATTTGTCGTGTTAATTACTAAGAACAATGCCCTTTCTATTCCCTCCCTACTTGTTTCTAATATTCCGTTTTATTTTTTATACATTGACCGTGTATGCGCAATATACTGATTGAAATATTTATGAGGTAGTCTAAAGTTTCAATAGTTACTACATTTTGTTTTGTACAGATGGTGGCCTCAACCGGCCTAAGAGTAGCAAATACTGGTAGAAAATTTCAATTAGGACTCTTGTTTTAGTTTTGAAGATTCTTTTGGAAGAAAAACATGTAACTTGGCCGTTGTCTCGGCATGCTAGAAATTTAGTTTGGTAGGGTTTCTGTATAGCCGACTCCATTTAGTGGGAAAAAGCTTTGTTGTTGTTGGAACAACCGCAAATATGTACAAGAAAGAGGGACGAGGCATTATTTTAAACTGTAATATATGAGTTTACACAAGTTACTCAAGGTGGTTCAGCCAGTGGCAAGTAGCAACAAATTAACTACTTGCTATGTTGCCAATTGGGAGGCAACAGCAATGGCAGTTGAAGTTATTTAAATGCTACGTACGTACGGTATTAAAATACCAAATCAGAAAAAACGAAATGGAGTCTCATTCGAGAGCCCTCATCTTTATTCAGTGTCTCAGGCTCAGGTTCAGTCTCAGGCCTCCCACCCTCTGAGGACAGTCGCCCTTGCAACGCGGTTAACTCCGAGCGTGAAGGCTCCCATCCGGAGGTCGCAGTTGTGGGTTTTGCACATCTCCTTCACACCTTTGAAGCCTTTGGTCATGTATGTCTTGAGCTCATTGTTCACCTTCTCTTCATCCCACAAGAATCCTTGAATGTTCTGCAATTTATATATGCACCACCAAATTAAGTGGCATGGCATGAAAAGTTAAAACGTTGTGAAAATATGTATGTGGGGTATATGGTATCTACCTGCACCCACTCAAAGTAACTAACAGTAACTCCTCCTGAGTTTGCATATATATCAGGAAGAATGACAACACCCTTCTTTGACAGGATCTGCAAAATATTCATTTTAACCAATTAAACATTACTGGTGTTTTAATTGTCCCCTCTTAACTCTAATTGTGGAGCAATTAGCGAAGCACCGACCTCATCAGCCTCAGGGTCAGTGGGATGATTAGCCGCTTCGATTATAAACTTAGCCCTTATGTCATTTGCATTTTCCCTACATTCAAAAACAACAGTTGGAGTTTCATTATGTTTCGAAAATCTTGATGTAGTTTTCGACTGCTTATTAGAGTTAAGCAGTACTTACTTGTTGATGACACCTCCGAGGGCTGCTGGAATGAGAATGTCACAGTCTTCAACCAAGATTGAGCAGGGTTCTATTGGATCCCCACCATGGAAGCCCTTGACTCCCCTGTTGTCCTTGACATGCTTGACCAGGCTTGGAATGTCAATTCCTTTGCTGTTCTTTAGGGCTCCAGTGATGTCACTCACTGCAACTATTTTGCCACCACTCTCATGGATTAGCTGGGCGGCCCACGAGCCTACGTTCCCGAAACCCTGAGATCGATAGTCAACTTAGACAACAAGTTAATCAATAGAAATCTGATCTAGGTTCAAGTCTCAGACTCTCAGCATCATAACCCTTTAATGATCAGTATAAGTTCACCTGTATGACAAACCGTTGTCCGGAGATGCTCTTTCCATGCTCATTGAGTAAGGCCTCAGTCGCAAAAAGTACTCCTCTTCCGGTTGCTGCATCTCTTCCTAGTGATCCACCAAGGTCCTGATTTGCAAGAAAAAAAACAAATAAATTACGGAATTTTATGCAAAAAAAAAAAAAAAAAAAAAAGCAAACAAAATTTAACTGAATGAAAGAGGACAATTTACTGAAGCGACTTTCCATGATTTACTTACAATAGGTTTTCCAGTCACTACTGCAGGTGAGTAGCCATGAAACTTCGAGTACTCGTCTAGTATCCATGCCATGGTCTTTTAAACACCAAAAAAGGGAAAAATCGAGAAGAGAAAATTGTTAAAATACAGTTCAAAGTTTATCTGACATTCAAGCCGATCAACTTGATAACCAAATTCTGTTGTAATCAAATCTCTTGAACAAAATTAATGGAAAATGTGGCGTGCTCAACCTGTGGACCTGTCCCCATATCTGGTGCTGGAACATCGGTGTGGATTCCGATAAGATCGTGTATCTTTTGTGTGAAAACTCTGGTGAGTCGCTCTAGTTCGGAAAGACTCAACTCCCCTGGATTACATCCTATGCCCCCTTTGGCACCCCCATATGGAATGTTGGCTACTGCCGTCTTCCATGTCATCAGCTGTGCTAAAGCATTCACCTCATCTGGATCAACCTACATTTTCCATAAAAGGATCCATAACAATTAAAGACAATTTCATGGCAGCGAGTCTTGATATATGACAACCATTCACATTTGTCGTAGAAGTGGAACTTAACAAAGTATGCATATACCTCTGGGTGATATCTGATTCCTCCCTTCATTGGGCCTCTAGCATTGTCATGTTGAACCCTGAAGCCAACAAATGAAGCCAAACTGCCATCGTCTTTCGGTATGGTACACTCAACCTGCACCGAAGTATATAGTTCAAATGCAACGAAAGGAGAAAACTCAATAACCACATTAGTTTTAGGGTCTGAAATCTACCACTAATTAAGAGTAAGGGACACACAGTAGGGAGATTATACGCAAAATTACCTTGATTTCCCTAAATGGTATAAGTAAACTTTTCTCAAGCTTGGAGTCCAATCCCAAAAGCCGAGCAGCCAACTTAAAGTTTCTGTTCGTTGCCACTAATGCATTCATCTTGCTTCCTTCTTCAAGTGTCTGTCTCAGAAGCTAAAAGCAGCTACTTCAATTCGCTTTTCTAGCTAGCTGTTATTACGAACCTAGATATAAGATGGAGAAACATAAATCAGTTTGCACTCTATAACAAATTTTCAAGGTGAATGACCATTAAGGATAACATTTCAGGAACTTCAACCCTAGCATGCATATATATGCATATTATATATTTTAATCAGTCCAAAAAATAAAAATTGTGCTAGTACTTGCTGACAATTCGCTCTTACGAGCATGGAACCGGTTCTCCGGACACACACTGCTTATTTGCTACTTAATCAATCTGAAGATTCTCACACTCATGGTACTTGATTATGATTAGCTGCATTAGCTATATACACAATTAGATTCCAATTAAACAGCAGCACTAAGCAGTTCAACTGCAGTATGTGCTCTATAATTAATAGATTAACAAAAAAGGAAAAAGCAACTTGCAAAGAAAGTTCTCACGCCACTACAGGAGAAAAAGGGGAAAGCTCATATTAAGGAAAGTATTGATGTGAAATTAAAATGTTAAATTTCATTTTTATAGCTAATGTGACAAAATATCCGTTTCGAAAAGTTTCATATTCTAACCGAAATATTAAATTAAAATGTTTTTTTTATTATTTACAAAATCAAGTGGGTTAGGATTTAATAATAAAATATCAATAAATGGAGAAGAATAAAGAAATATGTGAGCCTATCATTAAAATAAAAAATAAAAAAAAAAATTTGACGTTGTCTTTAAGTTTGGTAGATAAGAGGAGAATGTTAATCCATATAGGATTTTGGCATCTCTTCTGAAACCAAAAAATCACTTTTTTTTTTAATTTTTGTCAAAATAATCCACATAGGATTTTTGACATTCTCTTTGAAATGCTCTCAAACATTAATCGTATAATACATACGTGGACCCCTTCAACTGTGATGATAAATTAAAAGTTGACTCGATGATTTGAGAGTGATGCCACTTTCTTAAATTTCCAATTAGTGGAATATAATATGGATCTAGCTAACTAGTCTTGGAATTATGATCCGTAATTCAGAAGAGTATTTTTGGAAGTGGCTGAAAATCAAAGAGAACAACCTAAACTCTTCCAACCACATATCTGCCGCTCTCAATAAATTGGGAGTTGGATATATTGGTGGCTTGTGTTACTGGGAATATATTTTTCTGTATTTCAGCTTCTCCTATTGCAACGCACTTGTTTGCGCATTATATTTGGGAAAACAAAACCATAAATTGCAAGCAGTATATATATACCGATCGTTTCATGTACATTTTCTTCTAGGGATGTTATCAAATTATATCAATCACATCATATTTTAGATACATGATCAAGCATTTATCAATCTAACAAAATTCATATATCGTTATACAAAAAAAAAAAAAAAAAAAAAAAATTGATCAAGCATTTATCAATGCTCCTAATCAACATATTAGCTAGGATAAGATATTTGACTATCATTTATCAAGTAAATAATTAATGTATGTGCACATCACGACACAGCACAACTACTATCTTTTCATTTTCCAAAAAGCATGATTCCATGCGCAGAAAAACTTATGAGATCACTTTTATCTCCAAAGAAAAGAAAGAACAAAAATGGAAGATGAAAGAAATGGTTCTCAGATTTGTGGAAACATAAGGATCAACAAGCCATATAAACAGCAAGGTTACCCTTCAGCATTTAAAAATTTGCAGTTCTAGCAAATTTTATACCTAGATAAATCTTCGTATATAAATACTAGGTACGTTTTAATACATATGAATTAGCTTTTTAACACATGTAATTCTCTAACATGTCATACTTTTGAGGAGTTAGTATCACTGTTTTCACCTTTTATTTTCCATTTCCATTTTCTTTATTCAAGAAAAGGTACGTGCATGTACCTTTTTATATACGTCAACTCTTTTTTGGTACTTACTTCATGTATATGTACCATTACCATGAAAGAAAAAGGAACTATATTATTGCACAAACCTTTTGCTGAAACGGAAATATAAACATGGACTCATGACCTGGATAGCTACGTGCATGCAAGTAATATTATCTTTAAGCAAATTAAGTATGAAATTGGTACTGATGATGATAAATTCACGAGGGTTCCAAAACCAATACAGATCAATAGCCAAATAATTGTGAGAATAGTGGACTTCAGAGAGACAAGGAACTATATATATATATATATATATATATATAGGTTTATACATACACTGGTTAATCAAGAGAGAGAGAGAAAGAGACGGAGAGATCAACAGGAGGAACCCGAAATGCAGCCGCAGCAAAAACTGATCAATCGAGCTTAAATGGTGTAGTTGAAAGACTCTACTCAAAAGGGTCAAGAGGCTGATGGAAGTCGAATTTTAAGCGTGGATAAAAATATATATAGATGTCAGTGTTGAACATATGACTAAAACCGAGAGGATTAGGACAAAAGAAGAAGGGAATTGTTATTGACATTTTAAAATTCTCATTCTACACTCCAAACTTTCTATATTTAGAAAGAAAAATACACTTATAGGAAATGTAGAATAAGATTTTTGGAGTGTCAATAACACTTCTCAAGAAGAATCCAATTCTCTATCTATATTGCTACTATGGAATCCCATATTCTTGAGAGTTGAGACGTGTGTGCGCTCATATATAATATGTGTGTGTGTGTGTGTGTGTGTATCATTCTGCAAAGTGTAAAGTGGTGACGGTGATGATTAATTCCATCTAACAGGACAGGAATACGAATATATACGATGCTCCTGCCCCTGTAGGATTTTGCACCACTTGGATTCCTACGCACGATCCACACTTGACACTGCCACCTTCCCTTTCATTTCCACACACACCATTCTTAAATATTCAGTTTTACAATAAAAAGGACAAGTTTCAATTATTATTTTCGTACAATAAAACTATGTTAAATATAAATCAGGTGACAAATATGTTCCCACTTGGAGAAAAGACAAAGTATTATCTTTAGTAGCAATATTATACATGTGTTATAATTTGTGTAACAATAATAAATGGACATGTAATTTACAACTAAAAAAGAATATGATATTATTTATATTATATCTTTATGAATTATTCAGGCAGTGTCAGCTGAAAAGATACAAAACAAGGCAAATTTAATCAATAAAGGAAAACCATGATAAACATTGTTAATTCAAATCACGACAATTTAGTGATCAGAAGAATCTCCTTCCAGTGGTCGGTCTAACCAATTAATTTCTTCTGGTTAACTTAATAATGGTGGATTTGATGAGTATATTCACAGTAATAAATATTCGGACATACAAAACTCAGACGTACACTTATTGACACTATCAATTAATAGAGGTGGATTTTATGTATATATTTACATATGCATCGTTAAAGTTCACATGGATTAAAGAGTGTATTAACAATTAAGAACTTTAATGGATGGGTGATACTAGAGGGATGATTTTTAGATCATATACATGGTGATTTGTCGGTTGATGATTATATTTCTTCTATAATCATTAAAAATAAAATTTAACATCAACTGCCGCATCATGTAATTTACAAAATATAGTCTAAAAGATGGTCTCCTAACATTTTTCTTAATTGATAGACGTCTCATGGTGATGTAATTTACACAATCTTGACTGATTTCACATGATGAATTGGAGGTTTCGTCTTCATTCCATATCATCATGCAATGGCCATCCTTATGTAGCCTAATCCTAACATCTCCCTTTTCCCCACACACACACACACTTCTTCCCAATATTTCCCTTCATGTATTTCTCCATGATTCATTGTTTTGGTGAAGAATGAAACAAAGCTCCCGATCGAACGGTAACTGTCGTATACGAACATATAGCAATTGATGGATCACACTGGCCACGAACCATTGTCATATAGTATCAATTTATATTTTAAACATCAAGTTTTTGACATATAGAGAAGCCTAGATATTGGACTATTATGATGTTTCATACGTGTTACATGATAATAGACAAACAAAATTATAACTTAGTAACACTACAATTATCATATTTATACAATCTCTTTCATAAGGGTAAGATTCATCAACACATGTAGATCACATCCTGTAAGAGAGATAATACAAATACAGTATGAAAAATGTTGTAAGGATGGAGTTTTTGCAACTTTATTACATGCGCATGCACATGACGTCAAATGGACATGTCCTAAAATTATTAAGGAAAATAAAGGGAGGAACACATTTTTACACTTAATTCAACACATAATTAAGAACGTAATTTAATCTTTAGAGTTTCACATTTTTGCTACAAAATTAAATCTTTAGAGTTGATCAATCCTTATATAATTGAAATTTTGGTACACACACGTATATGCAAATTTGTGAATGCACTGTTATTCACCAACACAACAAATTTCGTAAATGATCATTGGCCACAAGCTGAATTACTAGACATTTGAATATAATCATTGGCCTAGCAAGGTAGAGATATAGGTCATTAGGCTGAATATAATCACCGGCCAAAAGCAAATAATACACGATTTCTGACATGATAGCATATTGCTAGCTACTTTCTAGAGGCCAACTATGACAGCTATTTAGATATGATTTTTTTTTTTTTTTTTTTTTTTTTGGTACACATGTAGAGAAGATAACCATTTTTTTTTTCCACTTATTTATATCCCCTCTTGATTGTCACAGATTATTAGTATGAATATCATGTTCATTACACAATTTTCAGAGAGCAAGTGTTTTTATTTTCTTCTTTTGAGTAGTATTTTGTTCTTAATTATATTATACATATAAAAAACTAAAGTGGTTTTTATAATGGGGTATAAAGCATGAGAAATGCTAAAGGGGACTTCTCTCAAAAGTTAGATTCTTCACGGACTCTTTGTTACCTCACAGTTTAACAGTCAATTTTTGTATCAAATGAGGTGATAAAATGTTTATGAAAACTTCCAATTTTAAGAGTGTCATTAACATTTCTCCTAAAGCATTAGGATGGGGGATGAAGTGCTTTTGTTTTTGCTTACGAAGAAGGCATGAAATTAAGTGAAGCCAATAGAAATAGAATGGACGCCGAGGGTCAAAAGGTTGGAATCCACTGCGTAATACACCAAACTCTTACATCCCTTGTTGCCAACAAATTAAAGCGATAAAGAGATAAAAACAAGACATCAAAGAAGCATTCCCACTAAGCCCTATGAACCCTACCTAGCCATCTCAGAGAAGCTTGCTGCTTAAGTTAATTGATCAGTCTAGTGGTGCCTGTGCATTGATTCCTTCTTATAAATTTGTAGGGAAGGGGAACTCGCTCCTATAATTTCTTTTTCTTGGTTAAACTTCAAAAATATTATTAAATAACAAGATAAAAGCAAATATATATGTATGTATGTATGTATATGTGCGCGCGCAATGTGAATAGCAATAAATAAATAAATATATATATGTGTGTGTGTGTGTGTGTGTGTGTGTATATATATATCAAAAGCAAATAGAGATTGATTCGGTGTTTAGTTCCCATGAGTCGGGGTCAAAATTTGAGAATTTGTTCCCCATTTCATTTTTCATTTACTGAGTCGGAACCTATTTATATATAACCAAGTTGATCGAATAACCCCAACTCCTACGCATGCTGTCCAAAGAGTTTTATTTTTTTATTTTTTATTTTTTTATCTTTTACTTTTTGGATTTGCGAATGAAACCAAAAAGTTGACAAGAAAATTATAAATTAACCTTAAGCCATAACAGCTAGAAATACGTATAGTTTCTAGAAGAGAGAAAAGGGAGAGAGTTGGAATATACGATAACAATAATTTAGAAAATGATGGAATTCTAAATTGGGGCGTGATTGATTTCTAATATCGCTTTCCATTCTAGGCTTTTTATCTGAGACGTATGAGTATAAACTTAACATTCTAATCATTAATAAATCAACGGCAAACATAAAATGGGCTCAAAATATTGGTGAGACAATGGGATCACTAGTAAGAAAGAATCTTTGATGGAAATCCAAATCAGAGTCTACCAAAAACTAGCACCTCCCCACTAAGGAGGCACAAGATATAGATTCCATCCATTTGGAGTAGCACTTAAGATTCTTTATATGCTGACGAAGTCTTGCTTTAATCATTCAAAAATTAAAGAACAAATGAGATTAATCATCTTCTTAACGTAATTATTGATCGTTAATTTATCCCATGAATCAAATAAGAATAATGCTAGGTATATCAACATTTTAGATTTAATTTGCAAAGCATGTGATGTGTTACTAATTGAAAATAAACAAGTTAATTGACATTTAAGTAATAATTCAATCATCACTAATCAAGTCATATAGTTTACAAAATATAATTTAAATAAATAATCTCCTTAGCATTACCGACCAAATCATGGATATTCGGATTCCTAGGTAGTTGCATGTAATTGTAGAGGGCTTCGTGTTGAGAATGAGTCTCATATTGATAAGAGAATAAACCTTGCATGAGTTTATAAGAGATTGAGCTACTTCACATATTACCAATTAGTTTTACGGTGAAACCTTAACTTTTTTCACTTTGTACGAAAGCACTACTAACCCCTCAACCATATGGATGACGTGGTACGCCTAAGTACATTTGTGTAGTACTTTTAACATGCTATCCACTCAAATAAAACGATTTCTTCAATGCAATAAAAGTTGTTGAAACCCACTTAATTTGGGTTGGTTCGCAAGATTTAGATGGATGCTTGAGTTTGCGAGTCACATGCATGCAAGCCCAACTCCTATATTTTTTCGACCATTTTCTTCATTTCTCAATCAAACTGCTACATATTTTTGGTTGAATGAATTAAATAGTACTTGATGGCCTCGTTTTATCCACACAATTGGAATTGATTATCAAAGAGGGTTGGAGAGGGATTGGAGAGGATTGGATAAGTCTAAACCTCTCATGTTACTATTCTGCTTACCGAACGAGCCTAAGAGCAACACAAATACAGGTAAGAGTTCTCGTTCTTTCAACTCGCGCATGCTTTGGTGTCAAGAATGGATTGCAATAGGTTAGAGAATTCACTAGAATCATTGTATGTGGCATGATACAATGATTCAAATGAATATCTGTTTGCACCTAAAATGTGCTTAATTTTACTTATTTGGGCTGGTTCGGGCAAGATATGTCATTTGGAGGATTATCTAGGAGAAATGCTAACTTGGAAAGATATTTGGCTGCAAGTAGGGTAGTTTGACATTATAATATTGCTTTCCTCTTTTGTTTGGGTGGTGGAGGTTTACCAAGAGCTTTGTTTAATCAACAATTGCATGCTTTCCCATTGCAAGTGATTGGAAGACACACAGATATTCTGTGAGATGATACATGGTGAAAGATGCCAACTTGCTTCTTTTAATTATTAGTTTATTGCAAGTGGTGGAGACATGTGGTGAAAAACATGTGGTGGAAATGCAGGTTCCCCTTTTTAATATTATTTCACAAGCAAGCTAGTAGTGAAGTTTCTTTCGGGTAAGTGCAATGTTCTCAACAATGGGCTCTCTCGTATCTCTATATAAAGAAGCAGAGGCACAAGGATTATGGACACTCAAACAACCAATCAAATTAGCTCATCAATCTCCTTGTAGACATTTAGCTTTAGCCAAGCATCCTTTGTTTTCCTTGTTTATTAGCTCTGCTGCTCACTGGTAGTATCGATCTCATTTGTAGTTTTATTTACCACCCTCAAAGTTATTCCCCAAACCACCAAATATTGCCTGATCCCTCGGGAACAAGCTCGAACCTTGTATTTGGCATCCCTTTGTACTTAGAATGCTTTGTACTTTAAATAAATACATTTTTGTACAACTCATTTCCAATCATTTACTTTCTTCTGTCATTTATATTTCCAGCAACCTTGTCATTTAGTTGTTACATTTCTCCATATAAGTAAAGTCCTTATCTTTAAGGCAAAGAAAGAACTTTGATTTGAGCCACTCGCACTCAATGACACAATCTCTTGGTAAGAAGTTGAACTTAGGCGCAACCTCAATCATTCAAAACCCGTCTAGTAGCGGCATGCTCGCCCCTGCCAATTTCATGTTTGAGTAAATTCCCAGCATGCTCGCGAGGCCCATGGCGAATTTAGAGAGCAAACATTTTGGCACGCCCAGTGGGATCCTTATATGGAGTTAGATCATGAACAATCCTTATGTTCATGGTTTTTCTCAACAAGCTTTTCCGGAGTATGAAGAGGATGATAATGTTGAAGAATGCCCAAACTATGGCTATACGAATGAGTACATGGAGCCAACCTATGAGCTGCCAACTAATGGGTACATGGCTAGAGAATACTCAAGTCCCACGGAATATGATTGTTGGCCAACTAATGGCTATCAACTAAAGAATAATAATCTTGAGGATTGGCCAACTTATGGCTATGATGAAAGTTATTATTCTTTTGATGACAATCTTATCTATGAAAACTATGATAGGCCAACAAATGGCTTTGAGTTTCAAAATGCTTTTGAGGAGCACGTAGAGCCAATCTATGAAATGCCAAATAATGATCCTTCGAATGAGGAGCTCTACAATGGGACTATGGCCAAACCAACGGAGTTCTCCTAAACTTCATGAAGAAATCACCAAATTTGAAGAGATGACCAAGGTATGGAAGAGGGTGAATGCAATCTACAAAACTTTTGATGAAAGTATGCAAAAGTTTAAAGATCAAGTACATCAAGTTTCCCTTTCAAAACAAACCCATCCTACCACCACCGACAAGGAACAAAATCTGCATAATGGTGAAGGCCCAAAAATAGCCCTGATCAATGAAAATTCCATGAAAGAGGATATGGTTGTAGGAGACCAAGCCGACTTATCAAAACCGATAACGGCTAAGATGGAGCTTATGGCTATCAAAGGCCAAACACCTATGCTCGGGGGCTCAAACTCACACCTCACGTGGAGCCCAAAGAAGAAGAGAAGAGCTCCTACGCTTTTCCCTGCCAACACAAGCATGTCGTCCATACCAAAATCTCAAGAGGGACAGAGCTTGGAGTGAAACATGAATGACCTCCTCCTATGGTTCCCAAGCTACATGCTATGGCCAATTTAAATAGTGGATCTGATCTCTCTACACTCAATTTTAAATAAATACATTTATGTACAACTCATTTCCAATCATTACTTTCCTATGTCATTACATTTCCAGCAACCTTGTCATTTAGTTGCTGTTACATTTCTCCATATAAGTAAAGTCCTTATCTTTAAGACAAAGAAAGAACCTTGATTTGAGCCACTCCCACTCAATGACACAATCTCTTGGTAAGAAGTCGAACTCAGGCGCAACCTCAATCATTCAAAACCCATCTACTAGCGGCATATAGTAGTGGCACGCTCGCACCCCGCCAATTTCATGTTTGAGTAGATTCCTGGCATGCCCGCGAGGCCTATGGCAAATTTAGGGAGCAAACAATATCTTTGGCCAAAATATGAAATGTGTGACGTGACCTTTTTAATTTCATTGGCCCAACTTGAAAGTTGCACCAATTTCTTCCTTCAACATATATTAAATCTAGTAAATTATTTCCAACCAAACTCAATCCTAGACACTTAATGAGGTTTGAATGAGGATTAAGTACTCGTACTACATTTTGCACCCTTTGTGGTTAAAGGTATGTAAAAGCATTTTTAGTTTTATAAGAAAGTTGCAAAAACAAGCTACAAATTGTTACACAGTAGACCAGATCTCCTGAACGAAATCAATTTAAGTGTTATTATTTATGGGGAATTTATCATGCTATTATTGAGTATATGGAGCTCATTTGGTGAGCCATTTTTCATCCATCTCTACGTCTATAACATTATCTTATTTCTACGTATGATCGAAGTTGCACTTGAATAAGTAAAAAATGGACGAATTGAGTTACCAAGCAAAAACCTGGGAGGCAAACTTGGCGGTGAGATTGAGTAAAATGCGTTAAAATTTGTAACTTGAGAGTAAAAAGATTGCAAAGTAAAATAAACCAGGTCAAAATCAGATGAAGTTAGACGGCTGGCTGGACTGACCTCGCCTCAGGGAGTAGTGGACCGCACACCTCTTATCTCTATGTCCAGGATGGCATGGATACACACAACCGTTGACCTTTGACAACTCGAGGAATAAGAGGAGAGGAGCGGCAGGTAGCCAGCTAGCTACCCACCACCATTGACAATTCGATATCTTTTGAACACACACAACGTCGTCCCACGTCAGATATTACGCAACCTAACATATGCACAAGAAAAAGTAAAACGAAGAGAGAAGCTTCTCCTCGTACGTGCCAACAACGCGGTTTCACTTTCTCCCTCCCTCAGGTCAATGTCATCACAAATTTATCAACCTTCAAAAAGCAAAGGCTTTCCTTCTTTTGGTTCTCTAATATTCCATCTTCCTTACAAACACAACTAGCAGCTTCGTTAGGGTTTCTGTTTTTGGTCTCTCAGAGCTTCATCCAAATCCCAACCCCTCTCTCTCCTCTCTTTCTATCTCTCGTACAAATTAATTCAAATGTGTCCTCTAAGGTTCATCTTGGTCTTCTTCTCAGCAATCCTTGCAGGATACTTCGCGTGGAGGACGGTTTGTTCTTCTCCCGACGGAACCGACATGATGATCTCACAGCTGGATTCTACTAACAACGAAAATGCTATAGGATCACCCAAACAAGAAGAAGATGCATTCAATTTTAAAACTGTATGTTTATTTCCAAGTTCCACTTTGGTGCTACGCAGCCATTGGATGGTCTGGATTCACGGGACCAAATAATGCAAACCAATCAACGCCATCCAATGCTCGTAGCATTGAAGAATTTTCTGTTTATTTCCTCCTTCATTTTGTTCTTTATTATTCCATTCAAGTATTATTTCTCTCTCTCTCTCTCTCTCTCTCTCTCTCTCTCATTCATTTTATTAATGTTGGGTTTTGAATTTGCAGATGATTCAGAATGGCTTCTGGGTGTTTGTGGACATGGCCAGCGGGAAATACTTGTGGAGGAATATCAAGGAGATGAATCAAGTCAAAGTAAAATGTTAGTTGTTGATTACCAAATTGTACAAGCATGCTTGTCTACTTTTTCCAATCGAGGGTATATAATTGCAAAACCGTGCAGATTAATCTTGTTGATTTTATTTTAATTTCTTCCTAATTTTTATCGTTTCATGGGCGAGGAGGTTGATGATAAAAGCAAGCGTATGGTGTCAGAATGATGCGTACTCTTTTATCTTCCTAGCATCACTCTTAGTCTTTTACCAAAACAAAATACAGCATTGCTAGATAATGAAGATTTAATCCACAAATATCGGTCCATACTCCGTCGTCTAAGTGATCCAACTGTTCATCTAAATCCGTTGCCAAATAACCAGTTTACACTACTGCCACGTATAACTTATGTACAACATCATTCTTTCAATTAAACCAAGAAAAGAAAAAAAGGGAGAGAACGACATTTAAGCGTCACATTGGAGACGAAGCAGCAGCCTTTCTTTTAGTTCAAATCAACTTGTAGCTTAATAGACATGTACAGAAGCGTGAGCAGAGCACCTTGCGGGAGCGGTGCAAATTTTGCAAGATTGGAGCCGACCCACATGGCTACCACCACCAGAGCAACCATATTGCTGCTGGTTTTCCCACAAACCCAACTTGCAAACGACAGACACAAAGTCAGCAAGATCCCACCTCTCCCACCCAAAACCCAAGCAATTACATAACCAATCTTGTATCCGGCATCCAATTTCCTGTCAAACAAGGCCATCAGGCTGCTAAACGTGAGAGATAACCGAGATCCAAATGTCTGCAATAGAAACAGAGATACGAAGGTTGATCTAAGCACTTCACTGAAGGAGCCTCTCTCTTGCTCTGGCTCTCCTTCTTCAGATGCTCCATCAGTTTTACCATATGACGAACTCTCTTCATTAACATTATAACGTTCCCAGTATCTCTCACGTTGCATTTTCTGCCGCACTTCAGCCCACTTATAGATCCTTACCCCATCTTCAAATTCAGTGCTGTAGTTCCATTTTCCACTATGTTGCCTACCAGTATCTTTTTGTAATCTAAGTTCCCGGTCATATTGAGCCCTCGTTGCTTCATTGGATAGAATCTGTTTATAGGTAACATGAGGCCGCTGTCATTGCGTTACTACACATGAATGAAAAAGAAAATGCAAAAAAAAATAAAAAGAAAGAAACAATACGCTTATGGGACACGGATGTTATTAAGTTTGGTTTTATGTAAATACCATCCATTACAATATAGATGTCAAAAATATAGAAAGGTCTTCTCAAAAGAACAAAAAGAGACTTCCAGTTTTACATCCATATGAAAGCATTAGTTGGTAAAAAGAAAACAAAAGCATCTACAACATGGTAGAAGTTGGGGGTGGGAAGAGAGAGGATTGGGTGTAGAGGAGGAAATGGACTTCCTGAGAGAGAATATGAAGAGTAAAAGAAAAAAACTCACTGAAAGTTGAAATAAATAGTTTCATCCTTGGTTCTTTAACTTATTATTAACCTAGGTCCAACACCAAAGAGGCTTAGTTTATGATATTAGATTACACAGAAACAAGGTCACCTATTGTGTATCAGTAATTACTCACCTCATACGCCTGACGGATGCTCTTGAACACCTCTCCAGCTTGAGAATCTTTGCTAACATCAGGATGATACTGCAAAACATAGGCAAGAATATGTAAGTTCTTAGTTGTGAGCCTCTGCCTCATAAAGTCTGTAAATTCTTTGACAACTAATTTCAGTGGGACCTCCTAACCACACAAATGCAGTAGGGGAGGAAAACAAGAACTATGGATGCATGTACGAATCAAAGTGTGATGGGATGCCAAACTAAGGATGTCCAGGGGTTCCTCAGGAGGTACCTCTCACCATTTGGGCCACATAAAAGCATGCCAGTAAGGAAATTAAATACCAACACACACACACCCAGAGTCCATTATAGCATGTGCTTCAATAGCTATAAGCAATAAAGCACAAAAAAACGAACAAAGAATACATGAATCCAAAAAATATTTGGTATACTTGAACACAATCTTGCAACAGTTTTGAACTAAATCAGATGGAGCATATTTATTGCACGTTACTGTTTGACAAGACATCCATCGTTCGACAATATAAGTTGAAGCAGACAATGGATACCTTCAAAAGGGTGTGGGTGTGTATGTGAGTGACCGATTGTATATGCATATGCACGTGTTCATACAGTTTTCCTCATTGAATAATGATTTATGAAAGGATTGAAAAATAAAACCACGACAGTAAAGATATATTATATTTCTCCCAAAAAAATTTCAAGTAATGAAGTTGGATGTCTCCCGAAAAACTACCAACACAAGTTCCATACACGGCCCATACACTGAAAATCAATGTGAATAAGATTGCTGCACTTCTTTCTCCACCTTCTTCCTCATAGGTATAACATGTTACACAAGTCCCCTTCTTTCATTTATAATGCTATTCGATAAGGTAGAATTTGGTTTATTGGAACAAACTTTATGAGATGGACTTTCCTGTAGAATGTCGAATGTCTACTTGCCAAAATGCCAAATAAACCAATGACACCCCTCACTAATTTTCAGTTCTCTAGTCTACTCTCTAACTCTCACTAAATTCCCATCTATCAAATCTGAGTTCAATCCATTCCACAGGGATGAACTTGATATAAGGTTTGGACAAAAGGCTAAAAGAAATAGCCCAAATGCATCGATGCCTCACAGTCATCCCACCAACCTAGAGTGTAGCCAGGTATCAAATACCTGTCCTGCATCTGACGTAAAAGGATATGAATATCCCTTCATCACTACACTGGCACATATCTATATAAGACTCCATAGAAAACGCATAAAAAAGAACAAAAATATTAAATGAAATATATTTATTAAATGGTACAGTTCATTCCCTCACTACAAGAAAATAAAAGATATGTATGATATATTTTCCTAACATGTCCGAATGCATCTCTGTATTTCAGCGTCCAAAGATGACGCAGTTGAATGTTGTTACTAAATCACGAGAACATATTAACTGCCGAACTCTAGCAATTATAACCATGTTGAAATACACTTGCAACTGACTGGTAGCAAGTTAATTTGATCAGTAAAGTTAATTTGATATACACATCATCTGTAATCTCTGCCAATAGTAAATTTAATTTGATCACTAAAGTTAACTGTTATCACTAACATATCTAAAGATGAATTATTTTAGCATTCAAACATGCTTATGTAAATTAATTCACCACCAGAATGTACACTTCTCCAGTACAGATTCTCTGGAAATCGATAACAGTAGCCCCACACAAACACGATAAAACTATCAATCTCCACTAAAAAAAGTAATGAATTATAATTTTCCCAGCTATAATGAAGTGCTAAGGTACAGAATTTCAAAATTTTAAAAGGTCGTTTCTAGGGTTTCTGGGGAACAAACCCAAAAATGTAATTAAAGAGAAAACACAAGCTAAGGGACAAGTGAGTGAGCACCTTACGAGCGAGAAGGCGATAAGCCCTCTTGATATCGGCGGCGGTGGCATGGCGTGGGAGGCACAGCACCGAGTAGTGGGTCTGCTGGGCGTTGACCATGGCTCTTGGCGATGCTGATTGTGGGGTCCACCGGCGAGTGCGGGTTCTGGCTCTTCTTCTGCGTTGCAAATGACATGGTGGTAGGGAAAACAATTGACTGAAATTACCATAGAAGCCGCCGGCGCCGGGGCCACCACTGCCGCCGCTGATGGGGATGGGTCCCACCAGGAGCTGCTGCGCCACCATACTATCTTTCGTTCATGTATGTAATGTCCGCGCGGCTACCACCCACTGTCAGTCCTCACTTTCGGATTCATCTCATTTGTAAAATGACTATTGTACCCACCCACGGTCAGTGGAGGAAATAAGTTACGGATAAAACCGGTTTCGGGTGCCCTTAACCTCACCCATATTAGTATCCTTCTCTTAATTTTGTTCTAAGAAAAAAAAAAAACTCTCTCTTAATCCATGCCAACTAGTAATAATGTTCACTTCCTCTTTGAAAGTGAAAAGTTCTAAACTTAAATTTTTTTATTTGAATCTGTTACCGATTCATTAGATGACAAATATAATACTAATTCATTTGATAATAAGTTCGATACTAATATCGTAAATATTGTATGATAAAAACAAAATTTCTATAAACAAATAGGTCACGAGTTTTATAAGCTAAACATATCAATGTTCAAGCTTTGTCAACTATTTTATAGTCCTATCTATAGTTTGGAAATAACAAAACTTAGTAATTTTTTTTTTTTAACAAATGATATTATCTACACTAAGGGAATGAGTTAAGTTTAGCTATACAATAGGTTAGCAATAATATGGTTCAATTTTGTCATTGACTTGAGTCGAGTCCAAACCTCTCGCTTTCATTTTAAATGTCCTAAATAATATGTAAGTGACTTGTAACTCAAGTAATTAGAATATTTATAGTTGTACACGACTTTGGAATAGTTCAAGCTTTCTAGGAGGTCACTCACGTCAGTGTATGTAGATGCCACGCCAGGAAAGACAAGGGCAAAAGGGGACCCACTCCGACCGAATATATTGACTTACATGGTCAACAGGTGTGTAAAGGTAAAATGCAACCACGTAGACTAGCAATGGGCAACGGAGGAGGATGCGTCCAGATTCATTCTGAACCCCGCAAGATACCCAAAAAAAGGCAGAGACCCAAAGGAGAAGCCTTGAAAACAGGGGCATGGTTTGCCCTTTCCGCTTTCATTTAACAACCCATCCCTCCCAAACCTCCTCCATCTTATTCTTCTTTCAGGCAAATAAACAAGCACCCGCCAGTCAGGTATTATTTTCTTTCTCATTCTCCATCTGTTTATCTGGGTTTTGGATTGCCATTTGTTTGATGGGTCATGCTAAATTTGTCGGTAGATTATTATGCTCGTAATGTAGGCTTTGACAATTGAGTTATTGGGATCATGTTCGTTTGTTGTTATTTTATTATGGATTTTGAAATCATCACAGATGTTAATGGTACATTGGGTTTGTTGATCTTAGACAATTCAATTTCTTCTGCAATTTTTAGATTGCATTGTGATCACTTGTGCTGTTAACGGTTTCTCTGTGACTGTGAGGCTGTGAGCTACGGAGGAAAACCAAAATGGTAATACGGGTTAATCATCGATATGGAGAAAGCAAACGGATTTTATGAAAATTATAGACAAGTGGGGAAGGAAACTTTTTGGTATTAGAGTATGACACAACTAATGTTGCTTACATCAACTTTCTTTTGCAAATAGCTAATCTTATCCTCATTGCAATTTAATTGTAGTTTAATAAGTGTTAGTAAGTTTTGGCATCGTTCTAAATAATGAATTTTTGAGTATATTTTGTTTCCTTTCAATGATTTTAGTGCTCTCAGAAGGACGGAACAGAGAAATAGATGTCGACTTTGAACAATTCAACAAATATATTTTGGCAAGAATGTCAGGTTGGGAAGGTTGATAGGCAGAAACTACTCAATCAAAAGGGATGTGTTGTCTGGATTACTGGTCTCAGTGGATCAGGTTATTTTCTTAACTGACTTCCTTATCCCTTCTTTTATAGTTACACATGAATCAATATATTTGTCATTAGCTTACATTTCTTTCTATACCTTCTCCTGTTGTGTTCTTTTTGTCCGACAGAAACAAATTTGATCAGAGATAACTGCATTTTGTCCTTGCCTGGCATGACAACTTGCTAATATAATAGCAGGCCATTATTTGGCATGGAAAATTGTCAGTGTTTATAAAATGAAAGTGTATGGACTTAATATGTGTAAGCAGTTACTTCGGTCAATCCTGTTTGTGGCATTGTCCGCACACTTGTAATTTATTGTTTCTTAAAAAAATCAGAAAATATATGAGATCACACCGAAGGCTTCTTGGACTCACTCCAAGTCGACTAACACTTCACACACATGAGGAAAGCTACAAGAAATTTGATTTTTTTCCCTCTTCAATTCGCTGCAGTCTATGTATTTACTAAATGGCTTCTTGAACTCTTTTCTGGAATCAGGGAAAAGTACACTGGCATGCTCATTAAGTAGAGAACTACACTCTAGGGGAAAGTTGTCATATGTCCTTGATGGAGATAACCTTCGGCATGGTCTGAACAAGGATCTTGGTTTCAAAGTCGAAGACCGAGCTGAAAATATACGCAGAGTTGGTACGTTATTTTTGGCAACAAACCATATTTTGGTAGAAAACGTAGATTATATTGATCTCAGATAACACATAAGACATGTGAACCAATATAATATAGCCGACACCGAGAATGTTTATTTGATTTCATTTTTTCTTTGCGGGGCCAAACATACTCTGGCATCTTAATTCTTTGCCTTTGTCAACTTGACCATAGTGTGAGATGTCCATTACTTGGTAATATATAAGCTAATTAAATTTTTAATGTAGGGGAGGTAGCAAAACTGTTTGCAGATGCAGGATTGTTCTCTATTGCTAGCCTCATATCTCCTTATAAGAAAGATCGGGATGCCTGCCGTGCAATGTTACCTGATGCAAACTTTATTGAGGCAAGACTCCATATGGTTCTTGTTCTTATAATCTGCTAAATGTGGCCCACCTATTTTAAACTACGAATATTGATTTTTATTTTACATCCATGTTAACAGGTTTTCATGAACATGCCCCTAGAATTATGCGAGTCAAGAGATGCAAAAGGACTTTATAAGCTTGCACGTGCTGGAAAGATTAAAGGTGTGTTTATGAAACAAATGTAACTCCTATAATTTGTTCATTGGCATGGACAAACTGTTGTTCTATGCCATATTTCGGAACTAAAGAGATAAAATTAATAAAAATAGATATAGAATCCAAATATGATTTTGTACATGAGATGACATTATGAGTTAATGCATGGAAGTCTTCTAATTCAGAAGGGAGAAAGTCCATCCTGTTGGGTTTCCTTACCAGGAGGGCAACCCTTGATCTCCTTTATTCTGTTTCCCGTGTGCTATGTGTTATAAGTGCAAAGGGAACTTTATAATACTTAAATGGATTATATAACTTGCACTTCAGGTTAGAGCGAGTTCCGAATTCTGATACTTATGGATTCCAAAGATAGCTTAGCTCATTTGTCATGCATTATGTAACTTGCACTTCAGTTGAATTGAGATTCTGCGTACTTTTAGTGAAAAATTATGGCATTAAAAAAAAAAAAAGGAACAAAGAGATTGATGCAGAGTGTGATTCTGAGTGAAAATCATAAATCTGTAATGCTAAACTCCCTACTGAAGTTGTTAAGCGGTATGACAGAGAATTTGAAGATACCTTCGTCTCACTTTCTATTCAAATGACAGTCTTTTCTTTTTCTTTTGGTCAACTTTCCAGTAATAGTTTCTAATTTCAGGTTTTACTGGAATAGACGACCCTTACGAGCGACCAGAGAACTGCGAGGTATGTATTTGGTGGAGTATAAAAACTAATGACCATGTCGGCATGTATCTTCTATTACACATTGTATAGTTTGGAGACATTATAAAATCATCGGTGTTCTTCTGGCATTCCTTGTGTATGCAAATCAGACTGAAAAATTTACCCTTCTTTTGTCAGATAGAAATAGGACAAGAAAATGGAGTTTGTCCTATGCCTGCAGCCATGGCAGGCCGAGTAGTGTCCTACTTGGAGGAGAAAGGATTTCTTCAAGTTCAGTGACTTGCCTCTGTTCAACTTAGCCGTTGCAGTTAAGGATTTCACTCAAAACAAAACATGATTGGTTTGATCAAGCCTGCCGGCACTAAGGCAACCCCGACAATCGTTTGTGCGTTATTGGGGAACTACTTGCTAGGAAGGAGTGCATACTTTTGGTTAATATATTTTGTTTACAAGATTAATAAGTAATAGAGTGGTAGTTCCACCGTTTTGAATTAGCAAAACATTTATGTGGCTAATTCTGATAATTGTAATGGTATGAAGTTCCATGTTGGAGATTTTCATATGGCCTGTTCTGTAGCATCTTATAAACTTGTGCCCATTCATCGAATTTTGACCTTGGATTTACAACATAAGGATTATTCCTCCAATCTGTTAGTCTCCTGCCTGCATAGTCGATCATTGTATGAGTCTTTGACTCTTTGGTACGTATTATATGCAAGGATCTTTGAATCAAATCTTTTGGTTAAGTTTTGTTGAAAAAGAGAGTTAATGCAAGTGTTTCTCGGATCTTTTGGAATAACACGTTAAGTGATGTGTATATGTTCCGTCACTAAATGAATCTGTTTGATTGGATGTTGGTCGTACGAATCACTATTATATGAGATGGTATGTCAATGTAATTTGATTGAAATCTAGCACATGGATTTTAAACTACATGCTCTCAACAAAACTCCTTTGAGCTTTACTTGATGCAGTTTGATTGAGGATTGGTGGATTAATTTGGTGTGTGAAGTTAACTTATTAGATTTCGAAATATGCGATTTTGGATGATAGATAATTGGTAAGTGCTACAGTGGTGATAGATAGGAGATGAACTTTAGATGGTAATTAAAAAATGAACGATTCTGATTGTTTTGATGATAATTTGTTAATCATAGTTGGAAGAACACAGTAAACTGATTATGTTTAAGAGAAAAACTTCAAAGGATGATTAAGCATCCTATTCCAAAAAGAAACAAAATATTGAGTAAATTGTAACACTGGTTTCTTAACTTTAATCAAATTGAAGTAATGGTTCATCAACTAAAAATCCATTATCATTGGTCATTCAATTCATCAAAATGTGTAGTTCTGGTCATTTTCTTTAACTCCGTCAAAATTTTGTCAAAATAAGTTATGTTAGAAGGACGATTGCTACAATTGGAGTCCCTCAACTCATTAAAACATGTAGCTATTATCATTTTTGTTAACTTCGTCAGAATTTTGTCAAAACGAGTTATGTTGAAAGGATCATTGCTACAATTGGGTTAAAGTTTGCTCCAATTGGGTTAAAGTTGAGAGACTATTTCTCTAGTTAGATTAAAGTTGAGAGGTCAATGGTAATGAATTTTTAGTTGAGGGACTATAGCTGCACGTTTTGATGAGTTGAGAGACTAATGGTAATGAATTTTTAGTTGATGAACTATTGCTCTAATTGAGTTAAAGTTCAAAATATTTAGAATGGGCTTTTCTAAAATTGATTTCTACGGGCTAACAACAATTCTAAATTTAGCATTTCTAAGGCCAATTTCAAGCATGCCCAAAAATCTGATACCACTAACTTCTACGTAGGTATGTATTTCCTTTTGGTTGAGGAGTCAAGACGTGATTTCGCAAACAGAAGAAACATGTATTATTTATATAAAACAATTCCACGAGAATGTTAAAGTAATCAAATTTTTAAAAAATATGTAAGTATTAATTATCGTGTTTATTTTTTATTAATGACTTATCATTTAATTCATAAATTTAATTTAAAAGTTTGGTCATCTGAGCATTATTTATTTTTGATGAAAATGAACAAGTATTGACCAAAAAAGTGAAAACAAACATATTAATTGATTTCTTTTTCTTCCCAGATCTAAATCCAAAAACAAATAGCAAAGGAAAGGAAGGAGAGAGAGTCTGAGAGAGAGAAGGAGAGATGGTGTTGAACAGCCATGTGGTGGTTCGGGTAGCAAATATATCAGCAAATCTATGTCAATACATCGCCTGCAATCCTGAGCGATTGAGTAGCCACCAAGTGCTCCATCTCCTCTTCTGCTTCCCTCTACGCCACCTACGACGTCGTCTTGTTGCCTTTCTCTGCCTCCCTTTTCTCTCCTCGTCTGATGAAGACGACGACGACGACAACGACGACGATTCTGATCTCTCGGCCTACAGCACCAGTTCGCACTCCGATTAATCAAATTGGATTTGGGATTTGTATCGTAATTCTTGTTAGGTTATGAATTTAGGAAGATGGAAACGAGGATTATAAATGTATTAGAGTATAAAAATCCCGTGTGTTATTGTATATTGATGAAATTCAATCAATGTTTATCTTATTATTATTGGTTAATTCATCGACAGCTACATTTGGTTCAGAATTTAGAATCTCAGATCTATTTCTTTTTCCAAATTCTGTTGTATGAGAATTTACTTTAATTTATTATGGCTGTGTTTGATGAGAGATTTTTCAGCATAATTGTTATGGAAATAAATCTTCGTCGGATCTCTTTCTTCTAATTCAATAAGTTTGGAATCCGGATTGTTGAATTTGATCCAACAACTAAAGTTATTATAATTTTTAAAAGGAATTCTTATTTGTAGTCGTTGTATCAAATTCTAACGGTCTGGATTTTCGAACTTGATGGATTAGGAAGAAGGAATTGTTATATGATTTTTATTAATATATTATTTTAAAAGTAAAACATGTTGCCACTTCGTACTATGATCTAATGGTATTCTTGAGAGGCTTTAGGTTCGAGTATCGCCACTTAATATATTACTAACGCATTGTGAGGTTAAACTCATCCTCTCTCCTATATAATATCGATTGTTCAAAAAAAAAAAGTAGAACATGTTGATTATGTCGGATTTGGATCCTGTCTTGGGCTTGGGCTCAGGAGCTTCCTGAGCAACTCATATGGACCGTTGAATTTTAATTCAATGACCATAAACAAAGGGTTCTTCTAAAAGTTATAAAAATTATAACCGTTAGGTTAAAATCCAACGATCCATGTATAACCAACGATCCATGTGATTTGTCTAGGAAGCTAGAGGATCCAAATCCGATTGTGTCAGCTATTTAAATTATAACACGTTTAAATACATAACGAGTGATTAGATGCACATAAATTTCTCATGTTTAATAGATTATTTATTTTTTCAATAGTCCATACCATCGGTGACTTACCCAAATATTTGACAAAAAGGCTTTAGCTAATTCCACATGAACTTTTACCCACGATCACTTTGCCTCATTTAATTTTTATACTAATTAATTCGTAGTTTAATACGGTGCTAATACTTTATGGCTTGCTCTACAAAACTAATTTTATGATCTAAGATATTTTTGTAAAATTTATTGTAAAAACCGTGCATTTAAAAATTATTTTCAAGTGACATATTTGTAATTGTCTTAGAAATTTTTCGGTTTTTTTAGTGTAGAATATCGATTACATCGTTGTACTAGTTTTAATGGGTATTGACATCCTTATTGAAAGTTAGACCCAAAAATAAATCGCAGATTATTGAAAACAAATAAATGAAGAAAATGAAAAGGAAGAAAAAATAGAATTAAAACGTGAGACAACCAAATTCCAAGTTCCAACCATTAACGAATAAGGAAGAGAGAGTTAAAGAGTTGGGTGGCGTGGGAAAGGGATTCCTTCCGGATCTCTTCCTTGTAATCCATCAAGTTCAGAGATTCGATCATTTGAAATTTGATCAAATAGCTATAAATATGGACCCATTTTAAAAATTATAATAATTTTAGCCGTCAGATCAAATTTCAACGGCCCGGATCTTCAGACTTTGTGGATTAGGAGGAAGGGATTCCTTTCCGTGTGAAGAAGAGACAGATGTTGAAGCCTGTTGTGAAGCCTTGGCAGACCAACCTAAGACCATCTCCAATGGTTGGGTTAAAAATTAAATTTTTTAGTTCAGAAAATTTAGTTTTTAGCCCAGAAACAGCTTTTCTGCTCCAACCGTTCTAGCCTAAAATTTTAACCTGGAATTATTAAAGAATGAACTTAGGCTATTTTTTTTTGTTAAATTAAATTTAAAAAAAAAATAAATATGTAGACTATCGTAAATTAATTTTATGAACATTTTAATCTAAAAAAAATTTAAATTCCGATAAATATTGGGTGGAGTCCACTCCGATTTCTAAGCTAAATTTTGGGGAGAATTTGGCATTGGTTTAACATTTAGCATTTAGCCCAAAATTTCCCCTTGAGTTGGAGTGGGTTTGGGGGTAATTTGGCTTTTAGCCTACCATTGAAGTTGGTCTAAAGGTGAGTTGGAAAAACCGAAAACCAAAAAAAAGCAGACCGAAAACCGAACGAGGTCGAAAAAATCGAACTGAAAAAAAACAAACCAAATCTGGTTGGGTTGGTTTCGGTTTTTGAGATTTGGAAACCGAACCAAACCGAAGTTCTTCAAAACAACATGGTTTTGTAATTGGTTTATTAATTAATAATCCTATTCTAAAACGGCATCGTGTTACCCTCGAAGTGTAACCATAGGTCCCCAACCGGCGAGCCCTCCTCCTTCGGTCTCTCCCGTTTTCCCAGTTCGCGCAGGGTAGCAGCCTGAGCCCCGAGCCTCCTCCTCTCTCTCTCTCTCTCTCTCTCTCTCGGTCTTCAATCACTCTCTCAAACTCTCTGTCTCTCATTCCCAGCGGCAACACTTCTCACTCTCAATCTCTCACACCTCGCCGTCAGTCTATCATGTCGCCGTTTAGAGTCTCGACAGCAAAAGGTTAGTCTCACAGTCTCACTTCTCTGTGTTTAATTTTCTGTTCTATTTATCTGTTCAAATTGGTCCTGTTCTATTTATCTGTTGAAATTGGTTCTGCTCTATTTACAGATTTTCCGTCCATTAGTTTATACAGTTTCAGAGGTTTGGTTTGAATGTTTGCTCTCTGCGGTTGTTTGGATCTTGGAGGTAGATGTATGTGAGTGGAAAACATCTGGGGTTTTGATCGATGAAGGTTCGATGCATGGATCTAACTATATATATATATGTATATATATGGTCTGAAAGTTAACTACATGATTTTGTGTGATGGGTTTGCGTTGTATAACTCTGAACGGTTAAAGGAAGATTTGTGGCAAAGCACACCACAAGAAAGATTCTTGGATCATAATCTCTGGAAAGGTCAGATTTGTGGTCTTTAAATAAAATTAAAAAAAAAAAAAATCCTTTTTGATTGTCCTTTTATTTTTTATTATCCTTGCAATTTCAGTTTCTGGGTTGATTTGTGATTTGTTATTTATCTTTTGGTTAAAGGAAAAGCCTTGTGCTGCCGCCTTTTCTTTTTGTATTAAAGGAGTTACTTTTGCATTATCTGCATTGCATGGATGAAAGTTTACAGATCTAGTTGACAGTATAAAGGAGAATTCAAGCAATATGAAGGTATAATTATTGCAAAAATATGGTGGTTACTAGTTAAATGGTATTGTTGTGTGGAGGACTGGATTGCACATTGTGTTTTCTGTGTAGTTGGTGTGTCTGTTTTTGGTGTTAGTAGAATTTGATCACTGGAAAATTAAATAGGATGGGATGGAGGAGGAAGCCTGCGGTACTAATTTGTATCGAGGAGGAATTGCATTGGATGTGGCAAACACATTTAAAGCAGGACAATTAATTAATTTCTTCCACTAGATCAAGATAGGTTCATTGCTGTAGTCTTGCTATTCCCCAGGGAGGACCTTATAGGTCAGTTCTGTCTTATTCTTGCTGCATTTTTGTATCATTGGCCTTGAAAAATGATCTCATAAGATTAAATCATAATTTTTTAACTTTATACCAATGAGGATGATTGGCCTTCCAGATTTTCTTGATTTTGTATCATTGGCCTTCCAGATTTTAATTAACATTTACTTTTGTATAAGTTTGTAGTACTAACTACTGTTCTCTTATTATTTTGTGTGAATTAGATGAAATCAAAGGCGTCAAAGGTCTCAAGGTCCTCAAGCTCAAGTTCAAACTCAATGAGATCAAAATCAAATAGCCCTCATGATGAAACGAACTCATCTTCGAGTATACCATCAGAAGTAAGTAGTCATATCTTAAGTCGAATATTTATTTAAAGTTTGGATTTTGGAATGTTTATTTTAGGTGTGGAAGACTTCAACTTTGATGTTTATTATAAGTTTGGACTTTTGAAAGATTTGAACTTTGATGTTTATTTAACTTTAGACTTTGGAAGACTTAATTGTAATTGAACTTTGAATGTTTATTTTTATTGTCTTTGATTCTATTGGAAATTTGGAATGCTTATTTTATCAATTATGTTGAAATGAATTTGGAAGATGTATTACAAAATGGCTGCAAGCTTTGTGTTCTTAGGAATTTTTTTGCTATTAAAAAAAAAAAAAAAAAAAAAAACCAAACCGGGCTGAAACCGAACCAGAAAAAACTGAACTGAATACAAACCGAATCAAACACAAACTGACAGAAAATCGAACTGAACCAAACCAAACAGTAATTTCTGTTCGGTTTCCGGTTTTGGCAAAAAACCGAACCCACCCCTAGACCAACCTATTCTCCCGCTTAAATGGTCATAATACCCTTCACTCCCCTCTCATCTTACGATTTCACCCCTCCTCCACCTTCTTCTCCTCCTCAACAACTCCTCCTCCTCGTTTATCCATGGCTACCGCCGCCGCTCAGTCAGCTACTCAGGTAACCTTATGATTCCAGAAAAAAACAAATGAACCCCAAATTTATAGTTTTATTTTTTGATTGTTTTGAGATATTTGTATCTGATTTTGCAAGGAATGAATGATTCAGAAATTGTGTGAAAATTTTGATGTAAAGTTGTAAACTTTTAAGCCTTAATTTCAATCGTTGTTCTTTGATCAGAGTGCTTCAACTGAAGATGATGCCAATGTTTTTCAGTTGATCCAATCTCATCAGGTAAAGTTGAATACTTGGTAAAATTTGATGTAAGAGCAGCTCCACCGGAGCTTTTTTTGCCCAGCACCAAGTCCAAATAACAGCCAGGCACCCAGTCCATTTGCTCCAGCCCGCAACACAGCCCGGCACCCAGCCCAAGCCAGGCAGCAGGCCAGCCCATTTCGGACAGACCCAGAAGCCGGTCCAAATGGCTGGCGCGTGCACGACACTTGCGACTGGGCGCGAGTAGCCGACAGTGTCGCAGGCGGTGGGGCCCGCGTGCAGGGCAACTTGCAGTCATCCGGGTGAGGGCTACGTGGCCTTCCTCAGAGCCGTTGGATTTCCAACGGCTAGTTTTTGTAGGCCGTTGGATTTCCAACGGTAAAAAAAATTTAAATTTAAATTTTAAATTGGACCGTCCAATCAAAGATCAACGGTCCAGATTAATTACAACATTAAAATTTATTAAAAATTAATTAAAAAATGTCAAAATTTTTTTAAAAAATACAGAAAAATTGTAAAAAATTAATTTTTTTTTTCTATAAATACCTAACCCTCATCTTCCACCTTACACCACATTTCAATATTTTCTACACTTTCTACATTTGAATAAAAATCCTATCCGAAATTAAAACTATTTTTTTTTTATTATTTTATAAAAAAATTATTTAATATTTTAAATGGACTGGGTGCCAGCGCATTTTGTAGGGGTGGAGATCGTTTGTGCCAGCGCATTTTTAGACTAGGTGCCAGCACATTTTTTTTTGGGGTGGAGATGCTTTGGCCTATTACTGTTCATTGAGTCTGTTACTGTTCAATTAAGTGGATAAATGGGCTGGGTGCTGGCGCAAAGTGGATTGGGGTGGAGTTGCTCTAAAGTGGAACACTTTTACTGCATCACGTGTCCATAGTCAAGGTTTCCACATAAATAATGTACTTATTCTTTCAGTGGAGAAAATTGAATGTGGGAATGTAGGATTTAGCTCTGTTGAATCTTTATTTGGTTACAGGAAAAGGCTGCTCGGCTTCCCCCAGTTGAGGAAATCCGAACTCTACTTCATCTTAGTTTTCGCGGAACGCTCTCCACTTTTTCTCAGGTTTTCATATCATTTCCTTGCTTTCTTCTTTCTCAAATGAATTTCTGTTTCTCAGTTATTTAATTTTGAGAGTGGTGCATCACCTTCTTGCAGCTTGCTAATAGTAGACTGGTCAATTAATATTTTTGATCTAGAAGCTTAGGACTTTATGCGTAATTGCACTACAGAAGCATGATGCTGGACCAAAAACCCTCCAGACTGTTTTCTGATGGTTTTTTTTTTTTTTTTCAATTAATATTTTTGATCTAGAAGCTTAGGACTTTATGCGTAATTGCACTACAGAAGCATGATGCTGGACCAAAAACCCTCCAGACTGTTTTCTGATGGTTTTTTTTTTTTTTTTCTTTTCTGGTACTGATTACCAAAGCCTGACATTGATGCATCGTTTGGGAATAGATAATACTTTCTTTAACATTCATGGGGTGTTGTCATTTTATGATCGACCTCTTATGAGTATTGGTTCCCATCACTCTGGTTGATTGATGTTTATGGTATTTATTGCTTCAACGACCTTGTTGTCCTTGTATCATTTTCTTTGGTTTTCTTTAATGTGCAGAAGCATGAGGGTTATCCATCAGGATCAATGGTTGACTTTGCATGTGATGCAGATGGATCCCCAATATTACCAGTTAGCAGCTTGGCAGTTCATACAAAGGTTTGTTGGAATTTAACTTCAAACGTATTGTTGCCTTGGGGGTGAATAACAACTGATGTGAACCTCAAAAAATCTTTCTCTGATACCACTTGTTGTGGTTTAAGCACCAAAGAGAAATCACACCACATATTAATACACAATTGCCCTTACAAATGGGAAAGGAATATAACGAATGCAAGACAGTTGGAGTTAAATCTACACAACCCAAATGCAAAGTTAAACCATGATACACTCGGTATTTCAATACCCCAGAAAACGCACTCTTTGAGGAGAGTTTTGCTCTTACACAATGCTCACTCAAGCTAAAATTGGAACTAAGCTGCAATATATTATCTAGATGCATAGGCAGCATCTGTTCTTCACTTGAAATGATTCTAACCTTCTTTCATGTGGAAGAAGACTGCAGAACATTATGTTTTAAACTTCCAATCTGTTCTGTATAATTTTCTGTAAAACATGTAGCCCTTCCAATCACGGAAACCAGCCTAGTAAAATAAGCTGTTACTTCATCACTGTATGGATTCTCTGCATGTTAATATCACCAATATTAATAATGTCATATCCTATCGTGCTTTTTCATTTTTCGATTCAATAGGACCTAGCCCTTAATCCCAAGTGCTCATTGCTTGTGGCTAAAGACCCTGAAGATAGGACTGATTTGGTGGTCACGCTGCATGGTGATGCTATTCCTGTAAGTAATGCTGCTTTTCTAATTTTGGATAGTGTTTGAAGTGCTCTCTCTCTCTCTCTCTCTCTCTCTCTCTCTGGTTGCAAACAATTGAAGGTGGTTGTTCTTTTGTGAACAATCATTTAGGTTTCCGAGAAGGATCAAGCAGCGATACGCACTGCATATTTGGCTAAGCATCCCAATGCATTTTCGGTAACAATCTTGTTCCAAAGCATAATGTAAATGGATGATATGTTGCACCAAATTTTATATCAGTATTAAATCATCACGTACAATCTGAAGGTTGACTTTGGCGACTTCCAATTCATGCGCATTGAACCAAAAGTTGTGCGATACGTGTCAGGGGTTGCAACAGCCTTGTTAGGATCAGGAGGTACTTCAGCTTTTTGGCGTTTGTTGCTCTTGGAAAAGATAATTTTTTTACTCTATAGATAACTTTTGAAACGGATGTACCAAGGCCTTTGTTATTTTTCTGTTTTTAGCACCTCTTATGGATATTTTATTTATTCATTTATTTTCAAAATATTGTTGCATATATTTCACATTTTTCTTAACATTCTCTGCTTTTACTTTCAGAGTTCGGAAGTGAGGAATATAAAGCTGCAAAAGTTGATCCAGTTGCTAAATTAAAGGCTTTTATGGTTCATGCTAACGATACAATAGCCATTGTGCAACACTCGACGTCTATTCCGGTATTTTCAAGTGTTATAAACTAATATTATTAGGAAATGTGTTTCTTTTCTTCTTCATCTTTTGGTTCTCAATATAGGGGATATCAACTTTGCCCCACATTAGTTAAAATTAAACCAATGAATATGGTGTCAATATTGCGCCAATACACGTTATGCCAGGGTGACACTTCGGAAGTATTCGTCATGATTTGCCTAGATCCATTTATGAATTTTGGAGGTGGAGAAAGTTTAGTTTGATGCAAGGTTATTTTGTTTTTCATCAGGTGGACTCTGCTTACATGTTGGACTTGGATAGCCTGGGTTTCAATGTTAAGGTAGCTAGTAGTTTACTAACTACCAATCTCCAACTTTTCGTTGCTAATAGCCATCCTTTATATTTTTAATAGACCATTTGTCTCTGCTGCAAACGAGGTTTTGTGCCAGAAATGCTATACAAATTCGCCAATAAAATTTCTTCCATTTTGACATGATATTTTTTGGACTTTGTTACTCTCATTTTAGGCTCGCTATCAGGGGGATAATTTCAAGCTCCGCATACCTTTTCCTAGACGTGCAGAGGATCGAAAGTGAGACCTCTCGTTTATATGAATATTTCCCTTTCTGTTGAAGTCAAGATTTATTTTCTGTTTACTTCTGCTTCAGTTATTCCAGATTGTGCAAGGTTTTTATGTTAATGTTGTACTGCATAAATCATGGAATAATTGTCCCTCATGTTGGTCGGAGGATATAGTTATTCTTTTTTCCTGGTTGACGTGATTTGTGGCTATAGTCAAGATTGCTATCAAAAGTTCTTACTGCATACTTTTGAGTTGGAGTAAATTGTTTCTAAGAAGAAATTTATTTCTCTCTTTTTAGGGATGTGAAGACTTTAATGATGGAAATGATTGAGGCTGCAATGGCTCACGGTTGTTATCCTCCCAGTCCATAACAAGGTGTGCTTATCTGAATTTCTAATGATACGGTTGTTCATAATAGTCGTCTTCTTTTGAGAGGTTCTTAACTTCTTATCCTGTTTTACTTTGTAGGATATTTCAGCACCTCGGAACTGCCATCACAGAGATTTGGAAAAATTTGGACTCAAAAGAGGTGAAATGAGATATTCGTTGCAGAAGGATATGCTTGTTTCTATTGTATGCTCAGAAAGAAGGTCTACATAATACTAAGAATCATGGTTACGGAATATCTGTCTGTCTGTGAAGTCCTCTGCCATGTCCTGTTTGTTTGTTTGACAGATTGCGTAAAGGATAAATTGTTATGCACCTCGATGCAATGGGATTTGAATATATAAGAAGTTCCGGTTTAGGTTTTTTTATGGACAATGTCCAGGTGGATCATACAATTCAAGAATACGCTTGGAACCAGCTACTCCACTGCGTTTTTGGCGTGACGGATGCCTTAGCTTCCACAGGCCTTTCTTTTCCGAAATCGAAGTTATTTTGGGTGTTGGTTGCTCGTGATTTTGCCTCGTGTTTTGGCATATGGCAGCGGTAGACGTAATCCAACATACTTGGGATAAATATTCCAGGGTAAGGATTCCTGTCTCACGTCATCCGTCCTCCCAAGACATGGAAGTACGCACAAGAAGGAACCCTGTATTCGTGTCATGACACAGAAGCCTCTTCCCCCAAAAATCTCTCCATATTTGCACACTACAAAACATAATTTTTCATTGCTCACACTTGTATGCAAAACATAATTTCGTAACTTACGATAACCCCCTTTTACTCGAACAAAAGCCTAACCACTCCACATTGCACACCGCATTCATCTTCTAAACAGAAGAAAGAAAACTGTCTTCCCTTCTGCGTCAACAAAATTCAGTATAAATTACACCTATCACTCGGACACGCTTTCCAGGCTCCCCATACCCTTCAATCCTCTTGGTCTCTGCATCATTCAAACATCAACCAAATATCAAAATACGAATACTCATACCCCTCGAAAATAAAGAAAAATGATGCAGCAAATGATACAATAATTCCAGTTCAAGTGCCTTCTTGCTACTTTTCTTCTCCCTAACTTCCCGTCTCTCTTGGCACATATCTGTGAGCCATGCACCGGGACTCACCAGCTAAAACGCATCCAAAAATCGGTATCAGAAGCTAAAGTTGAACTCGCTTAAGCTACACGAGGAAAATAAAGTCCAATTTCAAATCTGTTAAATAGCCGAGAAACTAACAAGAGGACTTACAAGTAGGCTTCTTTGGATGAGTTTGGCCCTTTTCTTAGGTCTTTGGGGAAGTTTACAACCCTTCATGGCCAAAAAGTCATCTTCTTAATCGAACTCTTCCTCCCTTTAGTGTAAAAATATCGATGTATTAAAAAAATATTTTTTTTTTTTATATAAATTAACATAAAATATCAATTGTATGAGTTTTCAAATAAACGAAGAAAATGAAAAAGAAGAAAAAAAAAAAAAAAAAAACGTGAGACAACCAAATTCCAAGTTCCAACCATTAACGAACAAGGAAGAGAGTCAAAGAGTTGGGTGGCGGGGGGATGTGAAAGAAGAGAGAGATGTTGAAGACTGTTGTGAAGCCTTGGCAGACCAACCTATTCTCCCGCTTAAATGGCCATAATACCCTTCACTCCCCTCTCATCTTACAATTTCGCCCCTTCCCCACCTTCTTCTCCTCCCCAACAACTCCTCCTCCTCGTTTATCCATGGCTACCGCCGCCGCTCAGTCAGCTACTCAGGTACCCTTATGATTCCAGAAAAAAAAAAATGAACCCCAAATTACATTTTTTGATTGGTTTTGTGAGATATTTGTATCTGATTTTGCAATGAATGAATGATCTAGAAATTAAAGTGTGAAAATTTTGATGTAAAGGTGTAAACTTTTAAGCCTTAAGTTCAATCGTTCTTCTTTGATCAGAGTGTTTCAGCTGGAGATGATGCCAGTGTTTTTCAGTTGATCCAATCTCATCAGGTAAAGTTGAATACTTGGTAAAATTTGATGTAAAGTTGGAACACTTTTACTGCATCACATGTCCATATTCTAAAGTTAAACATAAATAATGTACTATGGCTATTAGACTATTAGTGTAGGAATTGAACTTGGGAATGTAGGATTTAGCTCTGTTGAATCTTTATTTGGTTGTTGTTACAGGAAAAGGCTGCTCGGCTTCCCCCGGTTGAGGAAATCCGTACTCTACTTGATCGTAGTGTTCGCGGAACGCTCTCCACTTTTTCTCAGGTTTCCATATCATTTTTTTTTTTTTTGCTTTCTTCTTTCTCAAATGAATTTCTGTTTCTTTGTCATTTAATTCTGAGAGTAGTGCATGACCTTCTTGCACCTTGCTAATAGTAGACTGGTCAATTAATATTTTTGATCTAGAAGCTTAGGACTTTATTCCCAATTCATGAAAAATCCCCGAATGGATGAAAAGAATCTAAAGCATCGCCGGTCTCCAGTTGTATAGTGTGGAGCTTATGAGAATGAACTACCTCGGAATGTAGGATTATGGTTTGGTCTACCAAGTAGTGACTCGTGAAGAAGGGGATTTATCGATTCTGGTTGGAATCCAACTGGAGACCAGATAGCAATCCTATTTGGATTAGATGTCTCCCAGTCTATGATTGAGGGTAGGCCTAACAATCATCTGGATGCACCTATATAAATCTCTCTTTCTTTAACTAGTAATTACACAAAAGTAACATTATCTCATGAGGCTTTTTAAAGTTTATGCATAGTGTAGTCTTTGTGGTGGTCCTCATAATAACCATACACTTTGAGGATTGAGGCTATTGGCTTTGTGGAGTATCGTAAGTCTTTCTTACAAAATTCGGGATGAAGCAATCAAGGGTTTGATTCCCAACAAGTTAATGAGGTTGAAGTTTTGTTCAAATTATTTTTATTTTTGGATAAAATTAAATTTAGGACGCACTGGTGGTCAGTGATGAAAAGTGTGCAAAAAATATGTAATTGCACTACAGAAACATGATGCAGGACCAAAAACCCTCCAGACTGTTTTCTGATGCTTTTTTCTGGTACTGATTACCAAAGCCTGACATTGGTACATGGTTGGGGAATAAATAATACTTTTCTTTAACATTCATAGGGTGTTGTCATTTTATGATTGACCTCATATAAGTATCGTTCCTATTAATAACTCTGGTTGATTGATGTTTATGGGATTTATTGCTTCAACGATGTTGTTGTCCTTGAATCACTTTCTTTGGTTTTCTTTAATGTGCAGAAGCATGAGGGTTATCCATCAGGATCAATGGTTGACTTTGCATGTGATGCAGATGGATCTCCAATATTAGCAGTTAGCATCTTGGCAGGTCATACAAAGGTTTGTTGGATTTTAACTTCAAATGTATTGTTGCCTTGGGGGTGAATAACAACTAATGCGAACCTCAAAAAATCTTTCTCTGATACACTTGTTGAGGTTTAAGCACAAAAGAGAAATCACACCACACAGCAATACACAATTGCCCTTATAAATAGGCAGTAAAAATTATGTTCATGAGTTTTTGTTCTAAAAGTTCTCCCTACATCAATGAGGGATCGTTCTTCTTCAAAAGGAATATAACGAATGCAAGACAGTTGAGTTAAATCAACACAACCCAAATGCAAAGTTAAACCGTGATACACTCGCTATTTCATTACCCCAGAAAACACTCTCTTTGAAGAGAGTTTTGCTCTTACACAATGCTCACTCAAGCTAAAAATGGAACTAAGCTGCAGTAAATTATCTAGATGCATAGGCAGCATCCTTTCTTCACTTGAAATGATGCTAACCTTCTTTCATGTGGAAGGAAGGCTGCAGAACATTATGTTTTAAACTTCCAATCTGTTCCATGTAATTTTCTGTAAAAACATGTAACCCTTCCAATCATGGAAACCAGCCAACTAAAATAAGCTGCTACTTTATCACTGTATGGATCTCTCTGCATGTTAATATCACCAATATCAATAATATCATATCCTATCGTGCTTTTTCATTGTTCGATTCAATAGGACCTAGCCCTTAATCCCAAGTGCTCATTGCTTGTGGCTAAAGACCCTGAAGATAGGACTGATTTGGTGGTCACGCTGCATGGTGATGCTATTCCTGTAAGTAATGGCTGCTTTTCTAATTTTAGATAGTGTTTGCAGTGCTCTCTCTCTCTCTCTGTGGTTGCAAGCAATCTAAAATGGTTGTTACAATCATTTAGGTTTCCGAGAAGGATCAAGCAGCCATACACACTGCATATTTGGCTAAGCATCCCAATGCATTTTCGGTAACAATCTTGTTCCGATGCATAATTAATGTAAATGGATGATATGTTGCACCAAATTTTATATCAGTATTAAATCTTCATGTACAATCTGAAGGCTGACTTTGGTGACTTCCAATTCATGCGCATTGAACCAAAAGTTGTGCGATACGTGTCAGGGGTTGCAACAGCCTTGTTAGGATCAGGAGGTACTTCACCTTCTTGGTGTCTTGTCACTCTTGGAAAAGATAATTTTGTACTCTGTAGATAACTTTTGAAGCGGATGTACCATGGCCTTTGTTATTTTTCTGTTTTTAGCACCTCTTGTGGATTTTTATCATTTATTTATTTATAAAATATTGTATTTGTTATATATATATTTCACATTTTTCTTAACATTCATAACTTTTACTTTCAGAGTTCGGAAGTGAGGAGTATAAAGCTGCAAAAGTTGATCCAATTGCTCAATTTTCAAAGCCTGTTGCAGTACTGACTCCTTAACTAGTAATAGTATACATGCTTTATGGTTCATCTTAATATGAATTGTTCGCCTTTTCTAATAGAATCTTAAAACTATTGCTTCCCAGTCTCACATGAACAGGGATCATGCTGACGATACAAAAGCCATTGTGCAACACTCAACTTCTATTCCGGTATATTCAACTGTTATAAACTAATATTATTAGGAAATGTGTTTCTTTTCTTCTTCATCTTTTCCTTCTCAATATAGGGGATATCAACTTTGCTCACATTAGCTAAAACTTAAAACTAAACCAATGAATATGGTGTCAATATTGTGCCAATACATGTTGTTTCTGCCAGGCTGACACTTCGGAAGTATTCTGCATGAATCGCCCAGATCCATTTATGAATTTTGGAATAATAAAAGATATGAACATGTAGACGGGTGGGGAAAGTTTAGTTTGATGCAAGGTGATTTTGTTTTTCGGCAGGTGGACTCTGCTTACATGTTGGACTTGGACAGCCTGGGTTTCAATGTTAAGGTAACAACCAATTTTTAACTTTTCATTGCTAATAACCATCCTTTATGTTTTTAATAAACCATTTGTCTCTGTGCTGCAACTGAGGTTTTGTGCCAGAAATGCTATACAAATTCACCAATAAAATTTCTTCCATTTTGACATGATATTTTTTGGACTTTGTTACTCTCATTTTAGGTTGGCTATCAGGGGGATAATTTCAAACTCCGCATACCTTTTCCTAGACGTGCAGAGGATCGAAAGTGAGACCTCTCGTTTATATGAATATTTCCCTTTCTGTTGAAGTCAAGATTTATTTTCTGTTTACTTCTGCTTCAGTTATTCCAGATTCTCCAAGGTTTTTATGTTAATGTCGTACTGCATAAACCGTGGAATAATTGTCCCTCATGTTGGCTATAGTCAAGATTGCTATCAAAAGTTCTTACTGCATACTTTGAGTTGGAGTAAATTGTTTCTAAGAAGAAATTTATTTCTCTTTTTAGGGATGTGAAGACTTTAGTAGTGGAAATGCTTCAGGCTGCAAAGGCTCACAATCGTTAATCTCACAGTACGTAACAAGGTGTGCTTATCTGAATTTCTAATGATACGATTGTCCATAAGAGTCGTCTTCTTTTGAGAGGTTCTTATCTTCTTATCCCGTTTTACTTTGTAGGATATCTCAGCACCTCGGAACTGCCATCACAGAGATATGGAAAAATTTGGACTCAAAGAGGTGAAATGAGATATTCGTTGCAGAAGAATATGCTTGTTTCTATTGTATGCTCAGAAAGAAAGTCTACATAATACTAAGAATCATGGTTACGGCATCCACATAAACTGCTTCCCAACTCATAATTGTTTAACGTGAAAAGCGATATCTGTTTGTTTGTGTAGTTATCTGCCTTGTCCTGTTTGTCTGTTTGACAGATTGTGTAAAGAATAAATTGTTATGGACCTCAATGTAATGGGATTTGAATATACGAGAAGTTCGGGTTTAGGTGTTTTTTATGGATAACATCCAGATGGATCATACAATTCAAGAATACGCTTGGAACCGGCTACTCCACTGCGTTTTTTGCGTGCGGATGCCTTAGCTTCTATGGGCCGTTCTCTTCCGAATCAAAGTTGTTTTGGGTGTGGTTGCTCGTGATTTTGCCTCGTGTTTGGCATATGGCAGCGGTAGACGTAATCCAACATACTTAGGATAAATATTCCAGGGTAAGGATTCCTGCCTCACGTCATCCGTCCTCTTAAGAGACGCACAAGGAGGTACCCCTGCATTCGGGTCATGACACAGAAGCCCCTTCCCCCAAAAACCTCTCCATATTTGCACACTACAAAACATAATTTTTCATTGCTCACACTTGTATACAAAACATAATTTCGTAATTTACAATAACCCCCTTTTACTCGAACAAAAGCCTTACCACTCTACATTACACACCGCATTCATCTTCTAAACAGACCAAAGAAAACTGTCTTCCCTTCTGCTTCAACAAAATTCAGTATAAATTACACCTATCACTCCGACTCGGTTTCCAGGCTACCCATCCCCTTCAATCCTCTTGGTCTCTGCATCATTCAAACATCAACCAAATATCAAAATACGATTACTCATACCCCTCGAAAATAAAGAAAAATGATGCAGCAAATGATATAGTAATTCCAGTTCAAGTACCTTCTTGGTACTTTTCTTCTCCCTAACCTCATATCTCTCTTGGCACATATCTGTGAGCCATGCACCGGGACTCACCAACTACAACCCCACCAAAAATCAGCATCAGAAGCTAAAGTTAAACCCACATAGCCACACGAGAAAAATAAAGTCCAATTTCAAATCTGTTAAATAGCCGAGAAACTAACAAGAGGACTTACAAGTAGGCTTCTTTGGATGAGTTTGGCCCTTTTCTTAGGTCTTTGGGGAAGTTTACAACCCTTCATGGCCAAAAAGTCCTCTTCTTTCTCCTTGCTCGACAAACTGACGTACAGTTTCGGCCAAACAAGCCCCCGGTCCTCAACACTGTTTCCGTCCATCATAACCTTCCCATTCCCGTTGCCATTACAACTCTCATCCACACCCACTGATCCTCTTGTGGCGTAGTACCTTTCCTCCTTCTCTGGTGAAGATGACTTTCGGTTCTCACCTGCGCTACACCAGAGCAGAGCCCCATCAGAATTCCTGTAACCAAACCAAACATACCCACAAAATAACATCAGTAAATTAGACAAAAAACACTTCAAAAGCTCAATCAGAGAACAAAAAACTACACTCAACGGCTTGACAACGGCTCCGCTTGTCATATTCTGATTGATTCTTAATTGAGAAACTCCTTATATATAAAAAATGGCATCAATTTTTACCTTTTAAACTGATCTTTTCTCTTTGTCCAGAAAAACACACTATATTTATAAAAGAAAGGTGGGTGTGAGTATTTATCAAATATAGTAAAAAATTAACTCTTAATTTTAAAAATGTCAATTTTTATAAAATCTTTAAATATATCCAAAATTACATCTAAATAAACACAAATACCCTCAAATTTAACAATCAAATAAATTAAAAGCTTTTTAGCCAAAATGATCCGTGATATTGACATACCTCCTTAATATGGCCCTTAACAATTAATGATAATCAATAGTAGTATTTTTGAATTTGTCCATTGTGAATCATTTTAGCCTTTATTTGAATTTATCCATCGTGATCATTTTAGTTTTTTTATGAAAAATCTGTCAATTGCTCTGTTAACGTGATGATGTAATATCACGTGGGTCTCAGAAATACAATCATATAACGATATGTAGATTAACTTTAAAAACTATGTTTATATTTAAAACTAAAAATGATATTAGTAAGAAAAAATCGTTGAATGCATGATTGAAATTATGATGCTCCTACTTACAGTAACCACAGCAGCATTCAATGTCGGTGATGAGGGGTTCAAAGAGGATAGGGTTGTGGTGGTGGAGTGTCGAAGCGAAGGTAAAGTTAGACCGGAGCTTGAGGCGACAGTAACTAAAAAACTTTTAATTTATTTAATTATTAAATTTGAAAGTATTTGTGTTTATTTAAATGAAATTTTAGATATATTTGAAAATTTTTATAAAAAGTAACATTTTTAAAATTAAAAGTTAATTTTTTTGCTATATTTGATAAACACTCGACGGGTGTGATGTGAAGGTAAAAAAGGTGTGCAAAAATCACTTCCCTTTCTCCGTTATCCCGGAAAATAATGCGTCGGGGAAGAGGTTAAGGAATTAAAATTATGTACTAGTAGTTGGGATCAAAATAATACCAAAAAAGAAATGAGCCAAAAAAAAAAAAAAAAAAAAAACCTGGCTCCAAATTATGTACTAGTAGTCGGAAACCAAAACAGGTCGTAGGCGCGAGCCGGAAAAATCATGTGAAATATTCTAACCTGGTGAGGCGATTGGATTGAAATCCAGAGATGTCATTTTTTCCGGAAGTGGAGACCGCAAAGCGATGAATCCGAGACGATGTAATTGTCCTGCACATGCCACCATTGAATTTGAATCTGTCGGCTGAGATTTCTGTGCCTTTGACTCTCACACATCTGAGTCTCTTTCTGTTCCCCCACTGCAAGAAGAACTCTGGTTCTGAAGCTCTCTTATTATTCCTCTCTTCTTCCGTCTCCATACCTGCGAAAATAAATTCAGAAATTAAATAAATAAATAATCAAAACTTGCATCTTCCCAAATGAAACCCAGAAGTGAAAAATCAAAATCTGAACAGTTGAAGAAAGCTTACGATGAGATGTTTCCATGTAAATTACAAAACTTCGAGGATTTTCCGGCAAATTTCACCAAAACAATGAAAGCCCAGATGGAGATGGAGACTCCTCTTCTGGAAATCTTGCTTCTCCGCCTCCTCTGTCTTTGCTGTTGTTCTGGAGTTATTCTCTGTATTTTCCTCCCATATTCTGTGAATTCTTACTTCTTTTTCCTTTCCTCTCTGTTGTTTATCTGTCCTCCACTTTTTCTCTTATTGCATTTCTCGTTTTATCCTTTGCCTCGGCCCAGACAATCAAAATAACTGAAGTTTACTTTAACCGATAGATTGAATATCAACGGTTGTGGTGCTATGGATTTTGTGTGCCCGCTTTTGGAGCCCAAAATGAATTCGATTTGCACATTTGGTTTTTGGTTTAGCCCTTTTGTGAGAGTTTTGTGAAATGTAGGTGGGCCTTCAATCTCAAATCTCAACTTCTTTCCCATGTGGTTTTATTTAGAGGCTATATCGTTTTTATACAGTGTTTCACTTTCTTTTTTTTTTTTTTTTTAATTTTTTTATGTTGAATTACTTATTCACATTGTGACCTTAGAGGGCGTTTGTTGCACCGGACTATCTCGGACTAGACTAAGCTGGACTGGCTTAGACTAGACTAAGTAAGACTAACTTAATGAAGCGTTTGGTGCAGAACTAAGAAGTAGGATAATAAAAATAATAAAATAAATTCTTTTTTTCTTTTTCTATTTCTTTTTCCTGTTATACAACACTCCTAAAACCTCTCTTCCCTCTCCTTTTTTCCGTCCAAACTCCATAGATTCCAATCACAGCTTTTCCTCCTTTTCAATTGATAAAGCTCTTCGTCCAAATTCCACTACTTGCAACCACATCTTTCTCCCCCATTTGAATCAATAAAGCTCCCAAAACACAAACAATCAAAAATTCAATTTCAATCGAAATCGAAATCGCAGCTGCGTTCCTTGTATACCCAACAACGACACTCTGATTTGAGCAGGACGAGGAGAGCAGGAGAGGACGTGATCTGGGTTGGGTCGTGGAAATCGGCTCAACATCGAGGTTGGGTCGTGCAGATCGGCTCGACATCGAGCAGGACGAGAAGAGAGACGGAGAGGACGTGATTTGGGTTCAGGGTGAGGAGAGAGTGAAATGACGCAAGCATTAGTGAGAGAACGAAAGCAGTGGAGAGAGCATGCGAGAGCAAAGAGAGGGAGAGGGAGAGACAGAGAGACGAGGAACATCGAAGGAGACAACGTTGTGAGAAAGGTGTTCTTAGCAATCCCATGGTTCAACGCCGAACTAATTTGGACGATCTAACGAGGCCTGGAGTCCACACGAGTCCGGGCTAGTCTCATTTAAGTTAGTCCTCGAGCATACCAAACATGGGACAATAATCCTAGCTAGTCCAGTCCCATTAAGAAGGTGAAACAAAGGCCCCTTATAGATTTGACGAGTTTTCACAAAATTTAATGATATTTTATTTTTTAATGAATATATTGGGCTTTTAATGATCCTTTGCAGATCTTTTTGTCACAATTCATATACCAGATTAAATAATTAGAAAACGATTTATGCACGTCTTTTTTATCCTTAAATACATCTATGTTTAAAGAAAGTCTATTGATTTTTGTTTCTTTCATTTGATTCAAATGCTATGACTAAATATAAATGTGCATAGAGATATAACCGCGCGTGATGATTATTTTCCTTATCGATTCCTATAAATTCAGTCTGAGACAACAAAGTGTATTCGACCTAGGAGTTTGGTACCGATGTGCATTAGTTTTTAACCATTTTTTCATAACCAACTTGTGAAATATCTAGTGATGATACTGATGAGGATCACCTGTCATATATAGTATATGTTTATTCAAAGAAAGAATCTAGTAATAATATAAGAAAGAATCCAGCACTAATATATTAAGGAATAAACAAATTTTGTCTGGTGATGTAGGTTGTGTCGAAGCAACGCCCTTGAAGATGTAACTTGTTTCATATGACAGACTAGGTCTTCTTTCACCTAAATTTGAACCTTTCTTTTTGTTCTTGTTCTTGCTCTTGTCTAGAAGATGATTTTGGTGCCTCCAAGTGGCAGCCTATCGTGCCTTCACGACCTTTTTATTGTTGTTTTGTTCTCTCTCTCTCTCTTCTTTTGTGTTATGTCCTTAAAATCCTCAAGTTCTTTTCTCTAGTTTCTAGTTTGTTTGTAAATAGGTGACATTTTTTAGGAGGTAAATAGGCGACATTTGGTGAAGAATAAAAAAAGCAACATTGTGACGTATGTAAGAAAATGATCAACAAATATTGAGTAATCGACACGTTAGCGAGAGTTTTATAGTTTTTTATATATTTTGTATTGATGTTATTTACACTAAAGGGGTAAGAGAGTGCGCTAAGCCTCACAATGAGCTTGTAATAATTGATGAAATTGAGATTTTACCATAAAATCAATTGGCAATATGAAGAGTAGCCTAAAACCATATAAGCCCATAACAAGTCATGTCTCTCACCGATGTGGGACAAACTTTTCCACACATCATCAAATCTCAACAATAATATGGTTTAAATTAGCATTTGATGAGAATCAAACCTAAGATCTCTCACTTACAAATAAAGGGAAATACTAATAGACCGTAGTACTAAGTGGCGAGAGAGTTTTATAGTTGAAGTAGTTAAGAATTTTTACTCCTACACATGAAAGTTTACTCACATTAGTAATTAGTAATGTGCATAAGATTAATTTCTTTGGGTACAATTAGAGATGTGGGAAAGATGCTTTAATTTTAAACAGCAAAATTCGGGTGTAACGATTAACACTCTAAAATACTTAAGCTACGTACCCAATTGATTGATTTCCGTAAAATGAAGAATTATTATTTTGTAGCTGTGAAATTCGAATAAGGGTATAAATGGAAAAGCAAATAAGTCTCTTGTGAGAGAGAATTTATCTACATTAAACATTAAATATGTGTTTCATAAGGCAACAAACATAAAAGGACACAGAGAAGCTCCTAAACGACCAACTTGCTTGTTGAAAACTCAGAAACCCTAGAATATATAAATCCCGCTCCCACAACCAGATAAGGAGATGGAGACGACCTTCCTACTACCATTCAGAGCTAGCTAATACAAAAGGAGTGCCTCCCCTTCTTCCATTTCCTTAAATCAAACCCTAGCTTAAATCAAACCTGCACTGGCTTTCTCTCTCTTTAATTAATTTCAATGGAGTTTCAGTTCCAACAGCCGAAGCAAGTTTCCTTTGCAGCTGCAGGCATTCCGAAAAGCAGCAGCAAAGTAGGGAAGTTGAAGGGAAGAAATAATAATAGTAGAAGCAACAACAACGCAAACAAGTTTGTTGGTGTGAGACAGAGGCCTTCGGGGAGATGGGTGGCCGAGATCAAAGACACTACTCAAAAAATAAGGATGTGGCTCGGAACTTTTGAGACCGCGGAGGAGGCTGCCCGCTCTTATGATGAAGCCGCCTGCCTTCTTCGCGGCTCAAACACCCGAACCAACTTCATCACCCACGTGTCTATGGACTCCCCTCTTGCTGCTCGCATTCGAAATTTACTCAACACGAAAAAAGGAGGAGGAGCCACTAAGCAACAACTAGCCCTACTACAACGTAGTACTAGTACTAGTGCTAGTAGTAGTACTAGTTCTGATCATGATCATTTGCCGCCACCGTCTGAACAACTAGTACGGAAAAGTACTAGTAGTACTTCAACTAGCAGCAGCAGTGACACCACTTCCCTTTCGAGAGAGGTATTTCAAGATAATTCTCTGCTGTTTGACGATGTTTACAAACCGGATTTGAGAAACTGCAACGAAGAGTTTGAGTTGAGTTCTTCCTTCAATAATTCCCAATCCAACCTTCTTTCATGGGGGTCATATCAAACGGGGGTTGACCACTTCTCGTTTGCTCAACAAGCGTTTGAGTTTCCGAAACATCAGGCGGCGGCTGCTTTGTCTTCAGCGGAGAGTACTACTACAACTAGTACCGCAGGTGAAGCTGACTCAGAGTTGATGGATTTCGAAAGGATGAAAGTGGAGAGACAGATATCGGCTTCGCTCTATGCAATGAATGGGGTGCAAGAGTATATGGAAACAGTTCATGATCCAAGCGAAGCGCTTTGGGATCTTCCGCCGTTGTGTTCTTTGTTCTGCTAGTTAATTACGATCAATTGAATTGAAGGTGGGCATGGATTTTTCATCTCTCGTTCTCTTCAATTATTATTGTTGCGTGTCAACTTTGTTTTTTGCTCCTTTATTTCATCACTCTATACTCTCAAAGGGGTTTAGGGTACGTATACGATCGACGGGTTATAATAACTCAGTAACTCTTATAAATTAAGATGGATCAGAAATTTATTTGCATTAACTTAATCTTGCGGATTTAATTAAAGACCAATGTCTGCTGAAACTTATAGTGTTGCTAATTAAAGGTTCCCTAGCTAGCTCAACGATTGTAATTGACATGTTGTTTCAAAGTAAACGCCCTTAATTTCTCTTACGGATCAAAATAAGAAACTCCGAGGAGACGTACTTTGGATGTGAGCCGAATTAAACCCGTCTTGTTGTACAGATGTATGTATGTTTCGGCTAATTAGTTCGTTGATTTTTTCGGTAAGATGGGGATTTGGATACAAGTACAACCAGATGTGATGACAAGAGGCTGTCTTGCTTAAAAGCAGCAATGAATTAAAGGTTATTGAAATTGTGGTACAAAACAGTTAGAGAACCTAAAAATGAACCGTTCGAATCATGCGTCACGTTGCGGAGACGACCTACGCAGAGTTGTCGTATTAACTTACCAACCAATTAACACAATACCATTCGATAACTTGGGGTCTAAGATATAGGTCTCGAGTTTTGGGAGGATCTCAATTGTTTCAAAGATATTATTATTTCATTTCAAGTAATGGGAAGTTGGCTACTTTTACACGACAAACGTACTTCGAAAACCATTACAAGGGCAGAACCAAAACACAATGTCATTCGAAAGAAAAAAAGGATATAGAAAAATGCATAGCTAGATAAGAAACAAAATAATCAAGAGGTCTAGTGGGATAGACAGATGGCTATGGAAGGGAATCCCAAAGTATTATGGTTTAGTAATCTTCCCCTTCATCTTCATCATCAGCGCCTTCTGCCCCGACTTCCTCGTAGTCTTTTTCAAGAGCAGCAAGATCCTCACGAGCTTCCGAGAATTCACCTTCCTCCATTCCTTCACCTACATACCAATGTACAAATGCCCGCTTGGAATACATAAGGTCAAATTTATGGTCAATTCGGGAGAAGACTTCAGCTACAGCAGTGTTGTTGCTTATCATACAAACTGCTCGTTGCACCTTGGCAAGATCTCCACCTGGTACCACTGTCGGGGGCTGGTAGTTAATACCACATTTGAAACCAGTTGGGCACCTGAAAGTATCCATATAAATATAAAGCACTCATTCAGATTTCTAGATTTTGACAAAAAATAGCTTATAAACACAAAAGACAACAAAAATAGCTTATAAAGTCGAATAATCTGCATTGAAAATCCCATCATCCTTCCCCTTAAGACGGTTCTTTCGAATCCACTTTGTCTACAAACAAGGGTTTCCTACCATTAATATTGCTACCAGTGGATAAGAAATTAATGTATACACAATGAGAGTATGATGCCAAAAACATGTTTTAACCCACAAATGTTCTAGAGATATACTAAGAAAATGTCAGCATTAATACACCCTAAGCTTAATGTGTGTGACCGTAAATAAATGTCATTGCCAGTGCCTGAACAAGAAGAACTGAAATATTGAAATTAATAATAAAGTAAGGCCCATCTCATCAATTTTGTTGCAAATTCTATTTAGGCTTATACTTTAATGAAACTAGATGCACAGAATGTCTACTCACCAGTCCACAAACTGAACTGTCCGCCTTGTCTTAATGGTAGCTACAGCAGCATTTACATCCTTTGGTACAACATCACCACGGTACATCAAGCAGCATGCCATGTACTTCCCATGCCTTGGATCACACTTGGCCATCATACTTGAGGGCTCAAATACAGCACTTGTGATCTCAGGAACTGATAGTTGCTCATGGAAGGCCTTTGCAGCGGAGATTACAGGGGCATAAGATGAGAGCATAAAGTGGATACGAGGGTATGGAACGAGGTTAGTTTGAAACTCTGTAATGTCCACATTAATGGCACCATCAAACCTCAACGAAGTTGTCAAAGAAGAGATTGTTTGGGATATTAAACGATTCAAGTTGGTGTAGGTTGGCCTTTCAATGTCTAAAGACCTCCTACAGATATCATAAATGGCTTCATTGTCCAGAAGCACAGCCACGTCTGTATGTTCAAGGAGAGAATGTGTGGAAAGCACACTATTGTAGGGTTCTACCACAGCAGTGGAGACCTGCACATTTTAAGATTAGTTGTCGTAGACGGATGGACATGAATGGTTCAACAAATTAAGAGAACCGTTACGTGGAAGCAGATGAAAAAGACAAGTTGGACAAGGGTTCACTAATACTGGTTTTAGCAGCAAAGATCCATCCAGTTATCATATTGTGTATTTTTTTAAAGTAATGTACCTGAGGAGAAGGATAAATGGTGAAACCGAGCTTTGACTTCTTTCCATAATCAACAGACAATCGTTCGAGAAGTAATGAACCCAAACCAGAACCAGTGCCACCACCAACAGCGTTAAATACCAAAAACCCTTGCAGGCCAGTGCAATTATCAGCTAATTTTCTTACCCTGTCAAGGCATAGGTCCACAATTTCCTTCCCCACTGTAGCAGTCGACAGAGAAAACCAGTTACAACTAAAGTAATAGATGCAAATGCCAGTTCGACGGTGCAAAAGAAATTCTTATACCCGTGTAGTGTCCTCTGGCAAAATTGTTAGCAGCATCTTCTTTGCCAGAAATAAGTTGCTCAGGATGAAAAAGTTGTCGGTAAGTCCCAGTCCTGACTTCATCGATAACTGTTGGTTCGAGATCAACAAATATGGCTCTGGGCACATGACTTCCAGAACCAGTTTCGCTGAAGAAGGTGTTAAAAGAATCGGTTTCAGAGCCGACAGAGGTGTCACTGCATTCACATATAAACCTTCTTAAGACCAGAAGAGTGGGAAAAGACAAAAGATTGACGCAAAAGGATCCACTCAGTAAAGAGATCATGACATTTCTTGACATTTGCACATTACAAAGACGAGGGCGTCTGAGTTTCAATTAAGAAACCGACGCCTACACATTACATATGTGTTCATATAATAGATTCAATCAAGCCTCTGCGATTCCAAGGTTGATCTCAACAGATGCAAAAATCATCAAAACTTGATTGAAACTCCAAGAAAGACAAAATCCAACATTTCCAAATCTAGACAGGAAGCTAACATTAGTAACAATTCAAGCCCAGAATTCAATCAAGGTTCCTCTAAATTGGAAATGAAACGATAATACAGATCAAAGGAAGGCAAAAAGAATTGGTCTTTCAGTGTGTTGATCTGAATCACAAATTATGCTGCATTACGAAACTCCCCACATTTTAGTTTTCATGAATGAAGTAGCAAGAAACCATGTTGCATTTAGGCCAATCCAATTCTCATCTGCTAGATTTGTTGAACATAAGTATAACCCAATTCCCAATTTCATCAACAAAAACTAAAAAAATTGAGATTTTTCACAGGAATATATATTTAAAGTTCCAAACAAACAAAAAAAACAGAGAAATTGAGAGGGAGTGAAAGAGGGGAGAGAGAGGGGTACCAACCTGGGCATGGTACCATCAGGCTGAATGCCATGCTCAAGGCAGTAGAGCTCCCAGCACGCATTCCCAACTTGGATCCCTGCTTGTCCGATGTGTATGCTTATTATCTCCCTCATCTCTCTCTCTCTGTCTCTCTCTCTTCAATTACTTACAACAACCAGAGAAAGAAATGCAACAACAACGTTATCTCTTCTAATCTCTTCTGTTTTAATGATGATTGGTATTACGATCTCTTATCCACACATTTTTTTTTTTTTTTTTTACCTTATCTTCTTCAATCATCTGATTTCACAGTTAAAAATTAAAAATATACGTAAAAAGTAAAAAAAGACGTATGAATATCACATCTTTGTTATTATTGGTTGTTGGGCTTTTTTGGGTAAACAATTATAATCAATTATTTCTTTTTTTTTGGTAACCATATAATTTTTTTTTCCTGTAAGCATATAATTAGTGGTTCTAGATATTAAAAAAAAAAAAATATTATCTAATTAATGTATTGTATTTGTGTTAAGTTCTTAATTTATTTTGTGACAGTACGATTTTCATGCCCTTGAAATATCATTTAAATTGAAACTTGAAAGTAAGGCTATCTCTAACTGACTTGGTTAAAAGCTCATAGGGCTAAAAATAATTTGAAATGACATGAAAATTACCTCCAACCGAGGGTTAAGCCAAAGAGTTTGTGGGCCCCACTGGGCCAAAACCCCCAAATCAGGCAAGCGAGTTGACCATTTCCAGCAGCCAAACCTCCAGCCCAGCCCACTTACCCTCCAACGACTAATTGGTGTTAGAATGTCAAGCATGGCTTTGTGGCAAGTGTAAGAATACCGTGCTTTCTTCGTTATTGTGCTTTCTTTATGCCAAAGGGTGTTTCAATGGACCATTTTCTAACTCAATACGAACTGCAATGGAAGATCAAAACAAGAGAGATGAAGGAGAAAGAAAAGTAATCTGGAGAGTTACTATTTTAATATAATAGTTTAATTTAATTAAATATAGGGAATTGTTATTGGGACTCCAAAATTTTCATTTCACACTCCAAACTTTCTATATTTAGAAAGAAAAATATTCTTGTGATGAGTGTAGAATGAGATTTTTGGAGTGTCAATAGCACTTCCTTAACTATATTAATTTAATTAAAATAATAAATTATTGAGAGAGATATGTTTAGCTTATGGCCTTGTGTTTTTATTTTTTGTTAAAGAGCTATATTTGGCTTATGATTTTTTGACCCCTTCAGTTGGAGATAGTATAAAATATGATATGATACTATTCGTTAAAATATAATTTAGTGCATAATTACAAGGCTAAAGATGCACATTCGATTGGAGAGGCCACATTCGATTGGAGATGGATAAATACAAGGAAGTTTTAACGAAAAACTCACAGGTACTGCTCACTTTAATGAAAAATCACATTTTTACACTAAAAACTCAATCATGGTACTATTCACTTTACCTTTTATTTTGTCCTTATCATTAAAACTCAAAGTTTTCAAATCATTTTCATTAATTTCCAAGAATTAATCCAAATTCCAATCCATGTGCTAGAGGATTCGACAAAAAAAAAACCATGTGCTGGAGGGAAGCTGAAATGCCAGAAATGAAAATGACATGAGATATGAAAAGGCGGACAGCGGCAACAGCACAGAAAGCAGAGGAGGAAATCAAATGGCTAGTGTGAAAGCAGTGGCTCTTATCACCGGAGATTCCAACGTCCGAGGCTCCCTTCATTTCCTTCAGGATTCCAACGGTCTCTCTCTCTCTCTCTCATCTCTCTCATCTCTCTCTCTCTCTCCCCCCCCTCCCTACTGTCTCATCGGAAATCAAATGAATGATGAACAGGGGGGCCTACACGCATACAGGGGAGGATTAGTGGCCTCTCTCCTGGCCTTCATGGTTTCCATATCCATGCTCTTGGTGATACCTCCAATGGTTGCAATTCCACTGGTATCTCTCTCTCTCTCTCTCAGTTTCTGCTTCAATTCTTCATCTTTTTATGTAATTTTTCATTGCATCTAGGACATGATTCTTGTTTCTTTAATGGGTTTTACTTGCTCCATACTCTTCATTTTTCTTGGTGGGTGGTTACTGGTTTAGACTTTTCAAAATTTTAATCTTTGATGTTTTAGGACCTCATTTTAATCCACTGAAGAAGGAGCATGGAGCTCCTTCGGATAAGGAGCGTCACGCTGGCGATTTGGGTAACGTTGTTGCAGGCCCAGATGGTATGAACAAAACAACTATGAAAAATTATTGCTTTTCTTTTCTGTGTGAAGTTAATTTAGTATTGTACTAAAATTTGCGCTCTCACTAACTCTGCAGGAGTTGCTGAGGTTTCTCTCCAGGACTGGCAGGTAACAATTCCTTCTCCTTTACTATTTACTAAATATTCGTAACATTCTATGGACCTAAATATGAATATGAAGAAATATTTATGCCTAGATACTTCATTCTATGGATCTAAATTCATAGAAGAAGCGCTGTAAAGATCAATCCACGAGGTTTTTAAACATGTATGTGCATGTCATGGGCTTATCTACAATGCTAGCATGTTGTCAGCAGCTATGCGATTATTCATATGCCCTTGGATTGCTGCCTGTACCCCCTTCGTTATACTTTTCTAATCTATTTTTTTAGATTCCACTGAGCGGACCTGATTCCATTCTTGGGCGAGCAGTCGTAGTGCACGCTGATCCTGATGATCTTGGTAAAGGTAAGCATGTAAAATTTGGTCGGGAATTACATAGCTGCTACTTCAGCTCCTTTGTGTAGTTTGATATCTGCTTTGATTATTTGACACAAAAGCAATAAGTTTTCCTATTCCATGATTATTTAACCCAAAAGGAATTTTACACATTCACAATATGATTTTGAGGCTTGTGATCCTTGATTACAAATTTCTTGTCATCTCTCTCTTCTAACGGGCGATCACTTTTGTAATTTTTTTTTAAACAAAGAGATGAAGTTTTAATCATACAAGAAACTGTGCATATTACTTGATCACTCAAGTTTTCGTTTCTGAATTATCAGTATCAATTGGCACCAGCTACTGATTTTATGACTAGAAAGCAAATAACTACGCTGTGGGGATCAAATGTTTGTTTGTTGAACTATTTTGGGTACATCGGCTAATAGGCCGATATTTGTCTATAGAACTTTATGTCAAAGTATCAATCTTTATTAGATTATCTCAGGTATCTAATTCTAAGTCACTTAGTTGTGAATCTGCAACGAATCTTCTTTTCATGGGAACTAAAACCTTGTGAGACTTCGTAATGATCCTCAAAATATTTCATTTTGAAGTCGTTAATCCTTTAGGGCTGTTGAGATACTGTAATACAAAATAGATGAATGTACTTTGTGTTTTTGCAAAGCATCTTCTTGTACTTATATCACAAGGACAACAAACTCATGATAATTAAGACTGAATAATGGTTATTCATGCTGTGAAATTTTTCTCACTTTTGTCCGGTTTGTACTAATCACTGAACACTCTAAGAAGCGCTGCACTTCTTACTTGAGAAATAGTTTCTCTTGCATACCTTTTAGAACTTGATTTTGACGTTAAGTCTTAACAGAAAAGTGGGTGACTTTACCTGTTTTGTAGCCCTTCACATTGCTGTTAAAGTCATATATGTTTTGTAACAAAAAGTACCACAGATGATTTTCCAGTTTGTGGCTCTGTGCTGTTATTGCTAGTATATGATGTTAGGAAATTATAAAGCACTAAACCAATTTGGTGTTTGCGTTTTCTGTCAACAATGTACTCTGCCATCTTCAGTTTTGCTAGTGCAAATGTCAGTGCTGTGGATTGATCTTTGATTCATCTTCACATGAATGATATCATCGATATTTTGCCCTGATGTCTAAATATCCCCGATTGAACAGGTGGACATGAACTTAGCAAGACTACCGGGAACGCAGGAGCAAGAGTTGGATGTGGTATGTTTTCACTTCTCTAGCTATTTGTTGTTGCTGGCAGATTGTTTATATCAAATTCAGTGGCAGGGTCCCGCGAACTGTTTTTTCGTCATTCCTCTATTTTCGCTCACACCCTTTCTTATATTTGTAATAATGATTTTCGACAGGTATCATTGGCCTTAAGTCATCTGTGTAAAAGAAGAATGGCTGCAGAACAGAAAGCAAATAACCTAGTAAATGTGGTTTAGTCCTTTCTTTTTTACTCCTTTGTGTTTAGCGTTCTTTATGCATGTTATGATAATATTCTATGGGTATATAAGATGAACTTGGGAGACGAGAAGTCTAATTTAGAGCCTTTTGATAACCATTTCGTTCTTAGCTTTTTGTTTCGATTTTCTTAGCTTCAACGAAAAACATATGGGAGAAGTAAAGGAGAAAGGATGGAGAAAGAATGGAGAAAGAAAGAGAGGAGGGAGTGAGAACGGAGAATGCATAAATGATGAGACAAAACTTGAAGGAAAAAAAAAATCTCTCCTTCCTCCCTCCCACTCTCACTTACATTCTTTCTCCCATGAAAAATGAAAACTACAAACAGAACGCTCGGTGTAAAATTGTTGGGGAGCAAATCTCGTCACTTAGACGATCAACTATCATCGTAAGCAATACAATTAACATTATGTACAAATATTAGATGCCTAATGAATTAGTTTTTGAATATTACAAGCAAGCATCTGGTGGAACAGTGCCACTAGTGTTTACATTTACATTGATACAATGATTGCATCCTGCTGATGTTCCTTCAATGTTTTGGTACAACACGTCACTGATTCTCACACCTCATCTCTGTAATACATTGCATAAAGATAAAAAGTGACTTTTTCAGGCGAGCGATATTCTAATTAGTCTAATCTAAAACAATGTTGAAGGGGTTCAAGGGAATTGAAATTTGATGCAGAAAAAGGGCACACTACTCTTAACCTATTTGACTACACTCAAATGTGCGATGGATGTTTATTACCCGAGCGGGGCAGTTTGTGTTGCGTGGTTGGTCGATTAGAATGGGGTTTTTGACATTAAGCATTACAGCATCAAGGAATAAACATATAAATTGGGCGTGGATGGATTAAAGGAGACATGCACGATAGCAATGTTTGATAAAGCAAAAGCACATAATCAGTTGGTCAAATCAGTTATTTTGTTTGATAATCCATCAGTAAGTTAATTTAGTACAGATACACTCTGTTACAGTTCAACCTAACGGACTGCCACCACTTGTCAAGTCTCCAGACTTTGCGCGTCTCCTGTTCGTCATGCAAGATTTTTACTGATTTTGGTCGTGCATCAGTCGCCTTCCCGAAAAGCTTTTCTGCAACTAGTGCTCTTATCGGGTGGCATCAATTTAGCCCCTCAACCATGTGTTTCTGTAAGATGAATTGTCGCGCAGCGAAGCATCGTGTGGCTTGTATTCCATGAGATAGCTGTGTGGAAGCTTCAAGTTCCGCTTGATCGCATCTCTTAAAGCCATTACAGCCTGGTTAACAAAAGCCACGTCAAGAGATTACACTAACACGCTGACGAAAAGACTAAGTAACACAAGTAGCAAACTGCTATAAATTACAAACCTGATGATCAGAAGCATTCCGATTCCAGACACTCAATATATCCTCATTGAATCTGATGCTTAGTACCGCACCACATATGTTCTCTCCATAATCAAGCTGGTCACCCACCAAGGCAAGAACCTGCGCATAATACATTAGTAGGAGTAAGAAATAAGTTCTAGTCGGTACTTCCTACCCTCTAACGAATATATCCTACATTTAAATAGCCCCAATCCCCAGCCCAAATATCTCAACTAGCTCTGAAAAAAACATTAGACAAAGCCACATTAAATTAGCAGTGAAACCCCATAAGAGATGCACACTCATATAAATTCATATGTCAAGCATGTCCAGGCATTTGTAGATACTTCCGTAGGATCCATTCCTATAGCATCAAGAGATTAATATAGGTAATTTAGAAAGATGCCAAAATACGCTCATTCAGGGTTCTGGGCAACAAACCCACCCCAAGAGTTACACCTCAATCTAAAGGCATCAACCCATCGTAATAAAAGTGAAAAATGCAATGACACTGTTCTTACTGTCTGGGATCCTGCAGAACAGGATCCCACACCTGTAGCTGCCAGAATTTGCCTTCTTAGATCAGTAAAAAACAATTGGAAGCAACCCAAATTGCAGCAAGAATTTCATTACTCAACAAAATCAATGAGACAAAGTACATTGGTATAAAGAAAGCAATGTAATATTAAGCTACACCTGAGGATACTTTAATACCTTATAGAAAACATAAAAGCAGCTTCCAATTACTGCATGGCTACGTTGATTCTAAAGCGGGTCTCAATAAAGACAAAAAAATGCTTTACTTGTAAGAGTTGGACTAACATGCAATTGATTATCCTAAGTGAACTCCATTGTGGTAACTTGTCACTAAATTCCCATTTAATATTCCACAACCAACAAGTGCAAATTAATGCCATACTTGTAAGGGTTGGACTAATATGCAGTTGAATGTCCTAAGTGAACTCCATTGTGGTAACTTGTCACTAAATTCCCATTTAATATTCCACAACCAACCAGTGCAAATTAATGCCATACTAGGTTTTGAGCAACGATAATCAGTTTTAAGAAGATCATATGGTTTCCTTTTTGTGTACCACGTACAGATAACCTCTATGGATTAGAAGTTAGTTGGGTATACCCAGGTGAATGCAAGCTTAAATTTCAAATTTTTTAGGGTGCTACCAACTCTATGGGTTGAATGATATATTCTTCTAAGGTATCACTGACATCTAGGCGATATGTCACCGAGATAAAGGTGAGTATCAGTATATGTTGAGTTGTCGACACTGAGGCATAAAATTTCCCAGCATATCATTGAAAGAGGACCACAGCTTTGATGAAAATTGACCAAAATCTTACTCCTATGTGATTTGCTAAACAAGAGCTTAGTCTTGATCCTGTTGGGCTTATGGATATACAAAGTCTACATCAGTGCACTAATTATTCATATAACATTCCTAAAGCTTCATTTAAAATTTATACATTTTTAAGACAACAACATTTCCGTAACTTTTTACTATATATTTTCATCAATACTTTGATAAATCACTACCAATGTATTCCCTAGTCCCTCTTTTTTCACCCCTATAGTAGGACTATGAAGGTAGGCTATTTGATAACTGAATACAATAATCTGATAATAATCATAATTACTGTTTATTACTGCAGGCATAAATCTTCAGAAAGCATCATTAAGAAGAATTAGATGACTCTTCTGAGTGTTCAGAGAATCTGCCAATTTCCTACTGAAACCCAACGCTTCAGTAGGATAATTTCTTCAAAATCCAACATGGTTAAAATGAAATAGTATTATCAACTGATGGTATGAAAGTAGCCTGGCAATCGCGTAATACCACAACAAAGAGAAAATTCCAGTTTTTATCCTTACCAGGTCCTCCCAAAAACGGCCCGACACAGCCTTTTTGAATCGTATTATCCATTTACCACCATTGCAATTAGCAGAGTCCTGAAAAACAAAATTTCAGACATGTTGGCATTCTGTCATTCAAAAACTTAATCTCTTTGAAGAAACAATAAGATACTTGCATTCTATAGGAAGGAATAAGAAGCAAAATTAGCCAAGTGATTAGAAAGAGCAAACTGAAAGTCAGGTTTCAGATAATTACCTCCCAGAGCGGGCGGATTCCATCTTTGAAAAGATGCAAGTCTGTTGGACTAGGCAAAGAAGAAGGACGGGCTAGGTGGCAGTAACAGACCCAAAAATCTTCAACCTATATTATCCAAGCAACAACAAGTCAATAAAACGAAAAGATTACACTTAATCACATTTCCTCCTGCTGATATTAAGGTAGATATTGTACCGTACTGAAGTCGACAATTTTCTTTATATTGTCTTCATATGGTGTCTGGCTCCGGATTCCTGGGGTGCGACGAGTGTACCAAAATACGAACTTGTGCTAATCATAAAAACATGGCAAAAATAAGTTACACAAAAACACAAAGATTGCCAATTGAACCTGCATTTGAAACAGAGAATGGAAGAACAAGAATTTGGTATGCGAAGGACCCACAGTAGACAAACTGAATCGAACGAAACCCGGTATCGTTTTACAAAATTGATGAGAACAAAAGACGGAGATAAAAATAAACTGACTCCTAGATATACAATTCAACAGAAATCCAACTCCTTGGGCGAAAATTAAAATATAAACAATTTAATCATAAATTCTTAATAAAGTCAGCTAATTGAGCAGCAATTCACTAATGAAAGACCACAACTTTATCTAGATGAATGAATCTCTCTAGGTTAATCAATCTAAACCCTACACATATATATATATAGAGAGAGAGAGAGAGAGAGGGAACCTTGAGGGGATGGAGGCCAGCTTTGAGGTCGCGAGCATGGCGTTCACGAACTTCATCGGATTCCTTGGGATGATTATCGTGAGAGTCTACGACGAGTGCTTGCGCGTAACTGGTGACGTTGTTGTTGTTCTCATTGTTGTTGTTATTCGACTCCTTTTCTGCTATCAACTCCATCCTCCCCCAAAATCCCTAATTCCCTCTCTCTCTCTCTCTCTCTCTCTCTCTCTCCCTCCCCTCTCTCTGCAACGCACAGCAACAACAGACGAACACCGTATGAAATGAAAGTAGAAGAGAAACGCGGCTTATTCTTCTTCTTGTTTCGGGCTTTCTACGACATGGTCTTGGGCTCAATTTCAATTAGCCCGCAATTGGGTTTTGGGTTGGACAATTTTTTTTTCTCTCTTTAAAAAAAATGACAAGACACGGTTATCTATTTTTTTCGAGACCTGAAAGGCTTTGAGGAATTTCAAGCTTCACCGCAATTGGGTTTTCTCTTATTACTTTCTTTAATAAAAACTAATTAAATATATAGTGAAAACTTTGGCAAATTGTAAGTTAAAGGGTGTTTTAATCGTTAATTTAATTTTTTTAATTATTATTAATTTTTAATCTCAGTAATTTCGTTTCATAATATCATAACAAAATGTTAAATATGAACATGTATAATAAATTGAAATATATACATTTTATTTATCAAAATTTGATCATTCTTTTTTAGTACATCGATATTTTTACATTAAGGGAAGGAGAGTTCAGCTAAATCATATAATGGATAATCTAATTTGGTATTAAATTCGCCACTCACGAGATTCGAACTTAATACCTATCGCATGTACCAATTTCTTTTATTATGCCACCATTCCTCCTATGCCGACTTATCTCCAATGTCTTGTGTTTGTTTGTAGGAACATAGAAGGAGACCATGGAAAATGACACAATGGAGTTAAAACAACGTATGATGAGGCTGTTGAAGGCTTGAGATTAGGTAAAAACAATTATTCATTAAATACGTGGCACCACCAATTTTTAGTTAATCTATCCACATCGAAAGTCTAGACTAGTATATAGTTTGGTGCAAGAAATGCCTCATAGGCGGAATCAAATATGATATATATGGGCTTAAACTCTTGAGAAGAATTCTGGTGGAATGCTTTTAACGAGCGCTGAAAGATGAATGCTTATCGTATTTGCTTTATAAATAGATTTGTTTTCACAATTCAAAGCTCGTAACTATTTTCTCACAAAAGAGCAACATTTACTCACCTTCCTTGAAATGCTTTTAACTATTTACAAAAAAAAACCTCATAGACTATCCATATTCAAGAATAATACTTATGAGATATAGAAAAATGGAAATATTATTAGTATTCTAAACATCTCATTTTGACCTTCTTATAAGTGTATTTTTATTTTTAAATATAAAAAGTTAGATACATAGAATAAAAATTTTGGAATGCTAATAACAATATGTAAATGATAGGCAATAGATCTCAAGATACTAATTGATTCTAATTTTAAAAAATATATTATCTGATTCGTCTGGTTTTAATTTGAGCACCATTTTTATTCACACACGAGGCCGCCGCCGAGTGGAGGAAGGAAGATAGGGCGAAGTGTCAACGCTGATGAAAAATTCTCACTCTTTTCTTTTGCTGCGCTGCAATTCTTCTTATCCCAGATTTTGTTTCTCGTAAAATTTCATACCCTTATTTTGGTTTTTCCATTTTTTCGATTTTGCCCTTGTCTCGCCTGTGTTCTCCTCTTCCTTCTTCTTCTCCTCCCATTCGTCGATTCGACTGGTTATCGTTGTTCATCGTCTATGGATAAATCTGTAATATTGTTGTATGTCGCTGCCTTGGCAGCTTCGTTTCGATTAGTTTCTTCTTCTGCTCTCTGCCCTCACGAGTCCGATTTCTTCCGTTACAGCCTTCAATCTCAATGCCCCATCTCGATCTCCCCCCACCCACCCCTCAAGGTGTGTTTTACACTTCCGATTTCTTACATAACTGATTAATTATTCATTTATTTGTTAATTTACTGTTTCTTTTGTTGTTGACTCTGTTGATTATTGAAAATCTCTTACTTTTATGGGTTGGTGATGTCTGGATTCAATTTCTTTTAGGATATTGTTTCAATTTTTAATCAAATTTGGTGATTTTGAATGCTGGGTATTTCGGTTTTCAAGGTTTTAATTGCAAAAGGATAGTTGCTGTGATGTGCATTAGAATGATGAAAGAAAAGATGAAATTTTGAAAGAATTTGGATTTGTTAAGTCGCTGTATTTGTGATCAATGAGCTAAAGAAGGAAATTAAGATAGAAATTTGAGATAGCTTTGTTACTGAAATGTACGAATATGTATTGACCTCATGGTAATATAATTCTGTCAAAGCACTTGGTCACCTGTTGGATAGGATTTCTGGCTAGTCACTCTGCGGGTGTGGTGATAGTAATGCATTATCCACTTAAGAGCTTGCTACGAAGTAAAACTTTGTATGAGTAAGCTATTAGTTTTTGTGCTTGCATAGAAGTTTTGCTGCCTTGGAAGAATCTTGTGAGGTAGTTTTGCGTAAATCATGTGTGCCTGTGCAGCTGTGGTGCAAGCTGCTGCAGTTTCTTATTAATTTTGCAGACATACAATATGAATGTCGTGTATGTATATCTATTCAACCATACCCCCTTTCACCCCATTCTTCCATGATACTACATAGCTTTACGATTGGATGAGTAGGAGCTAGGCATATAGAAGCATTTGGGTGTTGCACTAGAAAAAAGACTATTGCCTTGAATCTGGTAATAGGGTTAAAGTATTGGCTTGTATTTGGGTAGGGTAACTAAACCTGCATGGTTAAAAACTACTCTTTGATCTCATAATAGTCTTTATAATCGTCATTGGGAAAATTAATTTGACAAGAAATTCAACCTGAAACATGGGCATCTTTTCTAGCCTCTTTAAGCTTGACAAACAAAAAAACTAGCTTTGTTGAGATGTGATCTGAAGATTCTCTATGATGTTCTGTACTTGTTTACATGTAAACAGGATCACTTCTTTTGTCCAATTTGAAAAATGGAAGAACTCTTTAGTCATTGCTAAGTTGTATATGGAAAGTAAAGCACTTGTTCTCTACTTTATTACTGTGTACTACTATGATGTTTTGTAGTAGAATTGATAGTTTGTTTAATCCGATTTGAATGATGGAAGAAACTTTTTACTCATTGTTAAGTTGTTACTGAAATTAAATGCACTTGTATTTTTTTTCTATTTTGTTTATTGTTTAATTATACGCATATGTCCTTGTGTCGAGAAAAAAAATGGTGTTCTTGCATAGTATGATGGAAGCGTATTAAATATGACTGGAAAATGTAGTATTGTAATCTACTGCATTGACTTTAGCGATTTTGGCATACCTTGCACTGAAACTTCTTTCTAATTTAGCATTAAATGTAGCAGTTGTTTCATTCCCCCTCTACCTCCCAAACCTCAGCCACATTATATGTTAAACTACAACTAGTTTCATATAACTAAGGGAGTCGTGTTTCAGATTCTATATTTCATTCAAAAAAATTAAAAATTTAAATTTATTGCTCACCCAAAAGAAAAAGCGAAGAAGAAAATTTGTTACTTTAGTCAGATGTAATGTTTGTACCATCTATATCGAACTTAATATGCTGATCTTTGTGATCTTAAATGCTTCTAAATTTGGTGAGAATGTTAGCATTAGAGCATTAAATTCATCTTAAGGTCATGTAGTGATCTCTCTTGGTAACTATATGATTTTGCGGCACATAAGTTACTTGAGTACTGCATTCTATTACAATGGTTTTAGTACATTTGGCTTGCCTTTGTTGTCCTTTTATCTTAGCATCTTATTTTGAGAGGTTGTAAAGTAGTAGGTTGTGAAACACTGGCTGTTTACTGTTTATATTATTGTTGGAAAGTTTAGGAACGATGAAAGAGATTATGATATATAATATGTAAAAGTTGATTAGAGGTTGATAGTCTTAAGGGAAAACTGCTGCTGGATGGTCTTGAAACAAGGTGTTAGTAAAGTGGTTTTGGGGGATCAAAATGGAGTATTGTGGTGGTGGTATGAAGAAATAAGGGCTGGTTATCTACACATGGTCATAGTAGTGCCTGAATATGGAAGAGACTAAATTCTAGGCACCAAAGCGAGATCTCCATGTTTATCAGAAATTTTGTTGTTGTCTAAGGATGCATATCAAGTGCCATTAATCTTTACTGTGTTTTATGTATTAGAATGAAAGGCATAATCCCTTTAAGAATTTGGCGTGCATGTTCATTGTTTGATGTTTTACTTTTTGTGTCCAGGGGATGTAAACAAGTTTTGCTGCTTCTGTAAGTTGAATTTAGAGTTTGGATACGGTTTAGACTCTAGGGTTTAGGCCTTGGGGGAAAACAACGGGGACCCGTTTGAACAGTAAATGATCCCACTTTTTGATGTAACGGCGATCCGTTTTTCAATCTTTATGATATTTTGACCATAATATTATTTTATGAGTCATAATAATCAGTCGATGGTAGTATGGACTTGTTTTGAAAGGACACAACACTAGCATGACACTGTTGTTCTCTGAAAAAATGGAGACTTCTGAATGTTGTTACTTATTATTATTTTTTTTTTTTTGGCAGGTGGATGGAAACTACCTAGACAGAGCTTTGGCATCGCAACAGAGGACTGATTATACTGCAGTGTTCTTTTATGCTTCCTGGTGCCCACTTTCACGCACAATGTATCCTACATTTGAAAAGCTCAGCTTCATGTTCCCTCAAGTAGAGCATTTGGCCATTGAGCAATCTTCAGCCCTGCCGAGGTAAGCTTAACTTGGTGTACTTTGTCCTCTATCTATAGCCCAATACATTATCCTCATTCTGTTCTGGATTGTAATTTCTAATGTCTGTTATGTATGGCGGTAATGAAAAATCTCCGAAAGGGGAGGAAACTGACCAAGGTTTTCGTATTGGAGTTATAACATTATAGCTCCATGAGCAAAAGCCCCTGTCATGTTGAATCCTGTGTAAGATTCCTTCTTTTGCTTTTGTATCTGTGGTAAGCTAAAGTATTGATGCCGTAGGCCAAACATTGATTTCAGGAAAAGAAAATATGTGTGTAGCTATGTAAATTTATTGAGTATTTTGTTTGTTTCGTGTTAAAAAGGAAATCTGTGCAATTATAATGTTTTTCATACCTAATCTAAATGTCAATGTTGTACAGATTTGTTGTTGGTGTATTGTTCTAGTTAAAACTGCAGATTCCATGGCCTTGGAAGGCAATTTGTTCATTTTCTTACAATTATTACTATACCTGCCTTTTGGGATGTATAATATCCATGGCCTTGGAGAGATGTTTACTGTAAGATATTTATGGGATGCAAGAAAGTTATATTATTATCTGTTCTTTGGAAACACAGCTATGTTGTCATGCCCTTGATGCGTTGTATTGCAGTGTGTTCTCAAGATATGGAATACATAGCTTCCCTTCGATTCTACTAGTCAATCAGACATCAATGGTGCGTTATCATGGTCCAAAAACTCTCTCCTCGCTTGCACAGTTTTACCAGAAAACCACAGGTAAAATTCTCCTAAATTGAAGAATATTTATGCATGCGGGGTAGGTGGCCTACCTATCATATTCTGTTCCTTTTCATCTATTTGTTGCACTATTTCTTACCATATATGTCCTCGCTGTCCTGTTTCTTTCAGGACTTGAACCAGTTCAATATATTGATGGCGATCATACTGTTAGCTTAAATATTCGTGAAAAATCTATAATCCGATCAATGAGTAACATGTCACTAAGGGAGATATCAAGGAGGGAACCCTTTTTAGCTTTTGCTACAGTGTTTCTCTGTTTGAGGGTGCTTCTGTATATATTCCCGAAGGTATTGACTCGCCTCCAAGCTTTCTGGGTCTTATACGTTCCTCATTTTAACTTGGGAATATTTGGGGAGACGAGTCAAATTATGGGGCGTATCCTCCACATGGTTGATGTTAGGAGGATTTGGACCAAGCTGAGATTATGCAAGACGAGGAACTTCCACGAGGGAGCAAAGAACGCCAGGGTTTGGGCTTCTTCCCTAACTTCTGTCTCCTTGGGCAAATCTTCATCTGCTCGATCGTCGACAAACTGAGTGTATAAATCTCCAACTAATGTGTATCATCCATCGTAAGCTGCTGTGATGCTTTTGGGGCAGGTGGTTATCTCTGCCTTTCTCAAATATTTATACTGGTAGTGATGATAACTGGAGCTGTCCTCTGTCCTCCTTTGGGTTGAGTTTTTTCGGTGAAAGCAAACAAGCTATGTAAATTTGAGAATAGCTTTCTTTTTGTAAATTACTCGTCATCTGACGGGAAAGTGTATTAGGTTGTACAAGTGGAATGTAAGTATATTAATCTCTAGCTCGATTCATCGTTCATGGCCATAATCTTGCCTTCGCTAGTCATCGAAATCTTAACAGTTACGTATGTAGTATCATGTTTGAGATAATAGCTGTGCATATTGAGTGCTTGTTGAGTAAGGAGCCCTGCAGCTTTTCATGCATTCTTAATTTGCCTACTGGAATCCACCACTTGGTTAAACATCGTGTTCCATATCGAGCAAATTGCTAACACAAGCAACTCTGCTTCGCCATCTACCATCTCCGCCGTAACATTAGGTTCGCAGCTGTCAGCAGCTCGAGAATTCCCAGACATTGGCTACCACCAGATATTGCAGCGCTGTAACTGCAGTCGAACCCCTAATGAGAACTGGCGTCAAATTTATCCACCACACCTAGCCAGGAAGAAGAAAGATTCTGAGCAAAGTGGAACCAGGTAAAACTGGGTCGTTTTGCATTGATCCAGGGTTTTGTTTAAATAGAGAAGGACAGTAAGGAAAAGAAAAAAATGAACCAATTATAAAGATTCCAGACCATGGACAGTTGTACGTCCTCCCCTTGTCTCCTTGTTTTATTTTATTTTAACCTTTTCCTTTTGCAACATTGTCATCCAAAGCAAACTCGAACAAGCAACAGACACCCTAAAGGGTCTTTCAAATTCTTTTTAAATTTTGATTTGACTACACGCTTAAAACAAACATTAAGGTTTTACCGCGAAATTAATTCATAATATAGGAAGTCGTTTAATTTACTGATAAGTTTATACAAAATTCTTCATCACATCAATATGAGATTTATTCTTAACACGTCTCCTTACATGTGACAAGTTTTCAAGCTTAATACGTAAACAACACAACGAACGAAGTGTATGACGCATGGTTGTTTGATTTCACACGTAAAATAACCTTTTTTAATACTAAAAAAAGCAAGGTTTCGTCCGTGGAGTGCGAATGAGACAAACAAAAGAATCTCCTTTTCATTTAAAAACTTCACTTTCTTCACTCTGTCTATCCATCCATCCGTCCCTATACAACTTTTTCACACGGAGATGAAAAGAGAGAACCTTGAGAGCTACTTGTGAGCGCGAACATTAGTTAACCTCTAACCAAAGTCACACATTAGTAATCAAACTTTACATTTAAATAAAAGCCATTAACAAATGAAAAGAAATATAAACCAAACTCATCTGGTAAGGCAAAGCAATTCTCTCTTTGGTGGGTCCCTTTTTGGACCGCCATGCATCCTTCCCTTCGCCACTATTAGAAGAACGGATAAGCACTCATTCAAATCGTCTCAAGTATCTTGCTTGCTTATGGTGGATCAATCTTTCACTCCAAGAGAAACAAGACACACTCCATGCCCATGTCCAGAGAGAATTTCCCCAGAAAACTCCATGAAAGCCACCTTCGTTGATTCAATTATTATTCAACATCACTACTAGTACCCTTCTCCTCTCCTCTCCTCCTTTGATCATCTGAATTCATTGATTCCATAATATTTCATTTTTTGGTTTGGAAAGATGGATCTTGATGAGTGGGAGTACCTACCAGATGATGCGTTTCTTGATTTCCATGAAGACAGTGAAGAGAAGAGGATTTTCTCGAGCAAACGCTATTCTTCTTCTGATAATTCAAAAAGTGTTTTCAACATGAACTACTTCATAATCCCATCACCCAGTTCTAGGTCAAAAGTCATTCACGAGACACCCCCACGACGACAACCGCTAACACCACCGCAACCGGCAGCGCCAGCTTGGATTAATTCAAGTCTTGTTCCCGTTCCAATTCAGCTGGAACTACCTCCAAGCTTTGACAAGGCCTCATCACTCTCACAAGAAGAAAAAGAAGAAGAAAAACAAGTCATCAAAGTCTCACAAGTGGATCAAGACGCACAACTCTCCCAAGTTTACTTCAAGAAAACTTGGGAAAATGAATTTGCCGACATGAAAATATTGGACTCCCCAAAGTCTCCCACCTGCAGATCACCCAAGTTTATGCATCAACAAACTGATAAGTTTCAGTTTGATGACAATTTAGGTCAAGAAATCACCTCTCCAAGGAAGGAAGTTGTTGACAAAAACAGCTTGTTGGAGTCATCAGAAGAGATAAATAGCAACAACAACATCTGGAAGCTGAGTTTTACAGGAATCGGAGCAATTTGCTCTTTTGGTTTTGCTGCTGCTACCGTTTGTATTATCTTTTTCGGTGCCCATCAGAGGAAAAAACAGTATCAGCACAACCAGAATCGCTTCCAGATCTACACTGATGACAAGAAGGTCAGCAAATTTAATTAATCTTCTAGCTCCCATCTACTTAATTTGTCCAATTAATTACATAAGTGCTGTTTTAATTTCTTCATTATTTTTCTTATTTTTTCCCCATTCTTTGCAAACTTATTTTAAAAATTAGTACTCATCCAAAATACTTATTACAAATTGTTTTTATCAAATATGACTAGTTTTTCGAATACGCGATAACATGTCTAGTTAGCTAGCCATTGAACATGAGTAATGTAATTAATATAAACAAGACAACGAATGATTATAAATTACTGAACTATCTAGTGGGATGCGTATTATTAGTGACCGTTTAACAATTGTCATGTATAACATTTCGATTTCATGCATCATGCCACATGATGTTACAGTCTCACACAATAATTTTTTTCATGTGGCATCAAGGTGCATTGTTGTAGGTTTATTTGCCCCATTTTGGGATTGTCAATTGTACTAGAGCCGAACCAATATTCTAATCCCACTTTTGTTAATTTTTGGATCGATGCAGAGGATTAAGCATGCTGTTCAAGATGCAACCAAAGTGAATGAAGCATTTTCAACAGTAAGAGTATCCCTCCCTAGAGCTCATGTCACATATGGTGGTTACTATAATGGTCTATGAACAGCCGCCTCCCACTCGATGAAATGGAAGTTAATTTACAGTACTGCCTGAGTTTGCTTTTGCAATGTACTCGTAGAAGAGATATATTTTTCTTTTAAGCGTATAAGGTCAATAATTGTGCATTGCATGAGATGCTTGTATAGATTATGAATCCTTTGTTTGTATAGTAGATTTCCTACTTTGTATTAGTTTGGCCAATTGGCCACATATTATTTGTATCTGTCGAAGATCTATAATAATTCACTTTTCATTTCTCTTCCGCTACCTTGAACCTCCTTGCACTACAAGAAAAGTGAGCAACAGCGCTACCAAGATTACGTATAAAACAATATAAAAGATTCTCGATTCTAGACTGAGCAAGGTTTCTAGCAAGCCAAAAATAGTTGAATCTATTAGCTGCTACCCAACTTATACATACATATATATATATATATATATGCAATTGTTAACTATTACCAGTATTTTCCAAGTTTTTTTTACAATGAGATTCTTTAAATTATTCAAAATTACGGGAAGTAGAATTCAAATTTAGGTGTAAAACACACATTTCTAACCAACTAGCATATAACAGCCTGCATCTGGATGGTTTTGTTCAGTTAAATCTTAATTTTTGACAAACTAATCTTTCTTTCTTTATGCTCAATTGCTGCTGGAAATACTTGATCTAAACAATTTATTAGAAGCAGCTAAGTGCTTGCCCCTATCAGATTTCTCATATGCAACAACTTGATTGGTAGATATTTTAATAGGTCATGAGGGAGACTTATGGAACACCATACACATTCCAACAAATGAGATTACTGAGTCATGACCCACTTCGTCAGAATTTGGTTGATTGATTTGTCAAAAATGTGATGACCTGTGCTTCATTACAAAATTCATGACGTGATGTTTATAGGCTACCTTCAATTATGATCGAGAAATAATTCACAAATGCGAATTGGTTTTGGTTGGAGTGACCCTCAAGGCCTCTCCATCAGAATGGACTTTTATGACACACTATGTTAAATAATTTGGTCACTTAAGAATTTTGGTTAATTTTATTGAATACGACCTTCATGAAAGACACTTCTTCAAGGCTTTAGCAACCCTCGTGGCTGGTGCTGGGAGTTCAACCACGTGTACAGAAAAAGGATACGGTTCATATGTTTGTATCAAAATCACATTCAATTAAAACCTCCCTAATGAAAATTATAAACGTCTATTTTTAAATGCCATGTAACTTATATAATTTAATTCTAGCCTTTGGAGCTTCTTTAGTAAGGTTAAATGTCACATCCCGGCCCGGGCCCCCACCACAACTCGGGCCCGCTCCACCATCGTAGCACGATATTGTTCGTTTTGGGCCCCGACCTTGCCCTCACGGTTTTATTTTTGGGAACTCACACAAGAACTTCCTAGTGGGTTACCCATCATGGGAATGCTCTCGTGCGCTACTCGCTTAACTTCGAAGTTCCCATGGAACCTGAAGCCAATGAGCTCCCAAAAGGCATCATGCTAGATAGGGATGGGAATATACATATAAGGATCACTACCCTGGGCGATGTGGGATGACACAATCCACCCCCCTTAGGGGCCCGACATCCTCGTCGGCACACCACAGCCAGGGTTAGGCTCTGATACCAAATTGTCACATCCTGGCCCGGGCCCCCACCACAACCCGGGCCCACTCCACCACCGCGTAGCACGATATTGTCCGCTTTGGGCCCCGACCACGCCCTCACGGTTTTGTTTCTGGGAACTCACACGAGAACTTCCAGTGGGTCACCTATCATAGGAATGCTCTCGTGCGCTACTCGCTTAACTTCGGAGTTCCTATGGAATCCGAAGCCAGTGAGCTCCCAAAAGGCCTCGTGCTAGGTAGGGATGAGAATATACATATAAGGATCACTCCCCTAGGCGATGTGGGATGACACATTAAAACTTCACTTGGTCATGACCTCACTATGAGCTACAATGTGAGGTAATAATTTCAACATCCCATTATCAATTATCTGCAGTGAATAATCTGAGAATGACTTTTTTATTTTAAGAAGAAGATTACAATACTTCACTCCTTTAAAAAATGACATTACAAATTCATATCACAAAGAACTCGACCCTAAAGGGTCCTTGCAAACTACATTTAAAATATTACAAAAGCATTACCAATAGCAAAGCAATGCGTAGACATCAAGCACTCACCCAAGCTCATTGCGAACTGCAAGATTACATAGATAAATAAAACTGTTAAACCTCGTGTTTCACGAAGATTATGTGAGAAGAAAAATCTCAAATCATATATTAGAACATGGAGTACAATGTTCATGTGTCTAGTTCTATTCTATCACCTATTCACCACCATGATCCCAAGATACCAAAATATATCCCAAATACACTTGTTCATGAAATTTTGGTAGTTTTTGTATTGATGCAAAATTTAAGAGAACTTGGTGAACTATTATGGAGATTATATTACTATTGACCTTAAAAATTACAACGCTAATGTGGTGCGCATGCCGAGTTACTAGGAGCTAACTACATCTTTCAGTGGCTTGAATGCTGATGCGGGCATGCCAATTCAACGCCGAGCTCAATTGGGCGAATAATATAAATATGGTGATGTAGTGAAATGCATTGCTAACTTCTTAATTGAGCAACTTCGATTGATGAAGGAACACTATCGATCTTAAGTTTTAAAACATGAAGACACAGTTATGCCCTAAAACTTGAAGACAACCTTCAATAAAGCTAGCAAGCATATCATGAAGTCTATTCTTTGTTGAACAGCCCTCCTCGATTTTATCCTCATCTCCAAACTCATAATATCTATAAGATAATTATTACGATAATCAGTAATATCTATTAAAATTCTATGAACTCATTAATTTATTCAAGGGCCTCAATTGTACGGAATAGATGGTGTAATATTGGGTCCATATAATTATCAAATCATATTTATTGTTATTTAGGAAGTCATAAAGCGTTTATTAATTTGGGTGGTGAAAGCTCTGTGAACTATAATGGAGATTTTATTTAGCCGATCGAGCATGTTCAATGTTTATGATGGAAAGCAATGTTATGTGTTGCTCACTTGCATATATCATATGCATGTAATCCTGAGGAAGTCGTGTGTGATAGTACATGGCAGTGGTGATAGAGCTTACTTGAGTTTAACTTCGTTGTGTTTAACTCACAAGTTAATTTAATTTCAAATTTTTTCTTTCACATGTTAATTCAATTTCAATTTTTTCTTTGGCCTACCAAGGTAATATCGCGTACGCACTGGTTTTAATAAATATCTTACCCCTCAAAATGCCTCACTTTCTATTGAGTACTAATGCATTAATTAATAGAATGAGGTATTATGTTGTAGTAGGCTTGGCAAATGAATCGTGTTCTTATTTGTTTTCGTGTCATATCCGTTATCTTAAAGTGTTCTTAACAGGTAACATGATGATGATTTGATTCGTTAACGAGTGTGTCATTCCGTATTGAATTAACAGGCCATGCAAGTGTAGTTCCATTTCTAAATGATAAAACCGTAGCCCAAATTAACACTATGTCCAACCCAAACAAAGAGGTTCCATCCATTTACTTACTCTTAGTCTTATTCTTCTTTGTAAGCACTCTAAAGTGATGAATATAGGTAGCTAGTAAGTTTCAAGTATGTGTCGTACGTTAAGAGGAGATGCATTGGAGGTGGCAATATATAGTGATAACATATTAGACTTTCCACTAAGCACTTTAGGTGCTATCTCAACCTACCCACCTTTTGCATGTTCTGCTAACCAGTGGCTAGCCAATATTGTTTATCCCAAGTTTACTCAGTTTAGTTCATGCATCAAGACGCGATGAAATCACCTGTCAACCTACCATCCATAAGAAAGCCCACTTCATTCTTTTCTTTTCAAACAACAATGATCATTAGTAATTGAGTGTTAGTTGGAGCACGCAATTGCATGTACACCAGTCGATACACCGCATCAGCCCCCAAAGAAGGCCACCAACACAAGCCGATCTATAAAGATTCAGCCCCGAACAGCAGGATGAATCCCCAACAAGTGTCGAAGGAAAGACAAAACCTTGCAAAAACACAAGGGGTACTAAAAGCCTAGCAACGGAGGGCTAGGGGAGAAAGCTGTCCATGATGACGGGGGATTGATCAAACTACTTTTCTATAATTTTAATTAATACTAACTAATTTCAAATTACACAAATTGTTATTATAATTAATTTACTAATTAAATCCAATATATAACAAATTCCTATATTTTTGCAAAAGAAGATATTGTTAATTTACTTCCCATTAGTTCAATATGTTTCGAAATAAAAAAATAAATAAATTTTCTATAATAACAAAAAAAAAAAAAAAAAAAAGTTGAATTGTGCGGTTAAAAAAGATGATGATATTTTTAACAAAAAACAAACGATGATATTTTAAACGTGCCAATTTATTCCAAATGATATTACATACATAATATATATACATATATATATATATATATATATATATATATCATGCCCATAGATATTAAAAATAGCTTACCAATAATTTGGTGCGTACGTACATTATTGGCACGTTATGTAATCCAATTGTGTACAAATTGGTATTTTGACATGTTATTTATTTATTGTTTAGATACGTACCAAGCTACTGATACGTTTATATTATCATAATTTTGGTATGTAAAAAGCTAAGGGCAAATTATGTGTAACCTTAAAACCTATTGGTACATTTCAAGCCAACATGGGTACATTTCAATTTGGCATGGGTGCATTTCATTTAGTAAGCGTACATTTTAATTTAGTATAGGTACGTTTCAATTTGAGATTAAACATGTCAATGTTTATTTTCAAAGAAGGATGACACATTTCAATTCAATCATACTTGAATTTCTAAAGACGAAAATAAAGAATGAATTATAACCAGTAACCGCAATAGTTACAATAATGATAAAAAAAAACATTACAAATAATTTTTGTATAAAACAAAGTTACAAATAATTAGATATATTAAAATTTCTTAACCAATGATGGAAAAAGTTACAAACACTTTTTGTATAAAACAAAGTTACAAATAATAGATATATTGAAATTTCTAAAGACGAAAGTAAAGAATGAGAAATAACTATTAACTACAATAGTTACAATAATGAAGAAAAAAATTATAAACAATTTTTGTATAAAACAAGGTTACTTATATATATTCAAATTTCTTAAATAATTTTGATATATTTTGAGTATTAAATTAATCTCAACCCTCACTAGATAT